CAATCGAAGTGGATATAGGGGCTACGGTCATTAATTTCTCATGTTTGGTTGTTTTTCTAACTTAAAATAATGATTCAACTATTGAATCTATGTGGTTTTATTTTAAAGAGATAGTAGAAACATTGTGACGATGTGTTGCCTGGCCACCCATATAAATGATAGCCATCTTCAGTTAAGATCTTAGAATGAAGCTACAATAAACAATTTCCCAATTTGTGATGAATAAAGTATTTCTAATATCCAGTTCATTCAGCAAGATGAATTGAGGTTGGGTAATAAAGAGGCGAAACACGTGGCTAAATAATATTCTACTGTGCATTATTTAATAAGAATGTAAACGTTAAAAATGTAGTTCAGTAGTGATGTGTTATTTAAATTCGTCCATTTAATCGAATAATCCTGTTTAGTACGAGTCATATTATGTTTAATCTAAATGATCTATTTGACGCAGACAATTTGCTGCGTGCGTAACCCTTCGGAAAATTCTGAAAAACAACCTGTTTCGGGATATTAAAAAACGTAATGTCATATAGCAAAAATATCAGAAATATCATACTTAGATACAAAGCCTACAAGCGAAGGGTTTCTTTGACTTATGATGGTTTCTCCCAAATGCCAGTTTACCATATGCAGCTGTTAAATATTTTATTTTATATCGTGGGAGATCAAATAGTTAGTCAAATGCAGATGCTGAAGATATATGTCTTAAGTAGCCTTTAGACCATGTTTAAACAATTATTTCAAAATGAAATAATCCAAGGAAAATAATAGAAGTTCGCCTATTCACCATCTTGTTTTCTTTATTCAGATTAGTAAAGTATTTTTTTAGCATGCGCACAAAATGGAGGACTGGAATGTAACTAGACATTACATTTCTAAAGCTCTGAATGGGATTTTTGTTCAACCAATCAATAGAAAATCCGCAACAAACACGAGGATTGCTTGACGCAATAGCCAGTTTGTACATTTTGGGTTCCTTTTTTCCAATTAAATTGAAACCCTTCCATTACACTTACATTTCCGTCTCTTTCTTTACCTTTGTATACTTTTTCTTTGTCAAATGTCATATAATCTCCCACTGAAGTCCAGTTTATGTCCTTTTTGTCCATGCAGGCCTATGCAGGCCTGCTCCTGCAAGCCCATCATCGTGAGTCTCCAACCGGTGAGTCAGATCCTCTCCCGTTGACCGTGGAGTTGCTCAGTTTCCCTTCATGGCCTCTGTGTGGTCCGCCTCTGTCGTCGCCATTGCTATCCCACATATTTGTCACCTGTGGATAAATCAACAGTTGTTTGGTGAATCAGGTTCAAATGTACTGATATATTGGCCTATATATTCCTGCTCGTTCATTTACGCAATTAAGTGCGAGCTCTTGTTTCATGTTTCAGTCTGATGGTTTTATAATCCCCCCCGCATCTGCAGACTCGTATCAATGTAGCCAGCAACTTAACAGCTGAGCCAAGATCATTCAAGTTCAAAAATACTTAAAAATAGTATTGTGTAAATATACACATGCAAAAACGCAAGCAATTGAATTATAAACAGTTATTGGATGTTTTGTCTGAAAATGATCCAGATAACAATAGCTTCGTCCAGTTGTGTTTTGGTTGTACGACCACTGCTCCGTGTACGCAGTGCATTGTACCTCCATGTTTGCAGTTAAATTGTAATGTTTGGTCTTTAAAAGCATGTTTTAGAGTATGTGCATCAAAAGGTCAGTTAGTACCAGTTGTTTGTATACGACTTCCTGTGTATCTTTTCGGCCTCCCCGCTCAGCAAAATAGGATGTTTGTTTTTTTTCATTTTAAGATAAATAACATGGTGAATAGAAGCTTTGAGTTGCAGGTGTGGTGGCCTTTTTTCTGCCATAAAATGAAAACAAAAACAGCCTCTACTAAAGCTTTGGGCTTTTATTTCACTAAAGGTTTAAAACTACAGGAGGTTTCTTTGCAAGACACTGAAAGCGCCCATTTAGTCTGCTTTACAGCCCACAGGCCTACCTGACGTGGCAATGTACTTGCAGATCCTCCCCACACTTGATTGTTTACTTGTTGTCTGACAAGGTTTTATGGCACACGGATTGGCCTGTCTGGATGTCGCTTCTCTTTGAAACCAAATCACTTCACTTCTACTTTCTACTTTAGTAAAAGTCAAAGCTGATTTATTTATTTAATTTGCATATGTTGTTGTTTTACCAGTGAATCCATTGAATTATTGGATTTGAGCGTGTTGTTTAAGTTACGTGCAAGTGTCTCTTTATTTCTTTATGATAGTATTTGTATCTGCGCCAAGGTACGACAACGGTAAGAAAGTTAGAAGGAATTAAGCTCTTATTTTGACTAAATTACCTTTAACGCAGTATCCCTAAGTAGAAACACTATCTGTATCCCGGTATGACATTCATGTTATAGTTGAAAGCAATTTCGTTAATGTTAATATTTGTAGGTTTCCAAAATCTGATCAAAGTCTGAAATAAACAAATTAGTGCCTGTGCGTAAAAGCGCAAAAAGTCAACTTACATTTCAACATGAGGGGTTTTAATGTAAACGATTCTCCCGAAAACTACAAGACGCAAAGGTTAACTATTTAGTGATCTTTTTCCAGTTAAGTTCAAACCTACGAAATGCAGTACATTAAGGGCCTACGTATTTCATTATGCACCATTAAAACGTGGTAAAGTTCATTAGACTTTTCCTCAGCTTAGAGTTACAGGCTCACACTATCGACTAATCGTGTAACCTTAAGCCTGCGTAAATGCAGAAGCAATTAAAGGAACTCCATCCGGGGCACAGAGGGCCCTTTGCTCTCTGAAAAGGACCCTCTCCCTCCCCCGAACTTGAATTCGACCGTACAGACAAAGCTTTGGCTTTGAGGGCTTTTACGCAGAGCCAGACAGCAGTTTGAATGCCCAAAAACATCACAGGGAGCATGGTCAGAGGATTAGGATAGCACATTTAACATTACATCAGCATTTGGTTTTTAATATGTGTCTATTCTAAGAACACTTTTTTTTTTTTTTATTCAATGGTTAGAAATGGGCATATTTATTGTAAAAATAAATCTTACCTTATTACTCTAGACATGATATCTTTGTATGTGGGTGGAAATCCTCAGCTGCTGACTTTGAGTCCGTGTAGGTGGCGACTTCCTAACACGCTTGGCCTGTTTTGTGGTGTCTGTCTGGCCAGGGAGAAAAAAAAAGTGCACCAGAATACTATAGCAGCTATAAAAACGCAGGTCTGTGCAGAGCTGCCTTTGGTTTTCCTGGGCATCCTGTGCTCAATTACAGCTTAAAAGCTTCAGGACAAGTCATAGAATTTGTCTGGATTGACTGAGAGGCGGAGCGTGTGGTCGCAAAGACGCTCGAGTTGTTTGTGCCCCTGCAGTTTATCCACATAAAATGGCCTGCAAGCAGGACTGTGACCAGCAGACTGCCTGTTTTGTTTTTCTGTGTTCGTACACATAGGGAGATAGTTGGTGCTTGCACCGTCTTAGACTGTGTGATATTTTTAAGGTTGTGTTTCACAATTGCAATTAGAACCCTCTTGGTTTCTCATGTGCATATCGGACTGTGGGGCCAGGCCAGCCGCGGCGGTCTTAATCCGAGCTAAGGTCTCTCATTCACAGCACATTAGAGTCAGGTTGCAGCCTCTTCAAATCAAACTCCACGGTGGCCATATAGCAAAGAGCCAGGCAATGTGCTCGGTGACATGTTTACCAAATTAAATTGTAGACATAATTTAATTTAAAAATATTGTGGGTATTTGTTATCCCTATTTGCTTCAAAATATGCCTACTATCTTCAGTGGAACATATATTCCAACATGCAATTCCTGTATGTCAATTTATAGGCTCCATATACTTTGGTTATTCACCATGCAGTTTTTTAACTAAATACCGAAGACAATTCTGCTAGTAAAATTCGAGTTTTAACTGTGAAATACAGCTTCGGATATTTTTAAATCCTGCGCAACATGATCCATTTAGAAAAAAATGTATGCGACTTGGATTTACGCAAATGTGTGTTCAGATGTTTTATGGGAATACATAGAAACAAATAGGGCTTTGATGAAAATTATTATTCATAAAACCATTAAAATGTCGTCTACATTTCTGGAATATGTCTTCTTGCTAAACAACGAACATTTGAATAAATATTGCACTAAAACATAAAGAAATGGCCGTGCGTAAAAGTGGAGCCGGGTCGAGCGTTGCGACTTTTGCAACCATTACATGTTTATATGAGGCAAAACAGAGCAGTAAAACGAGGATAATTTAAAAAAATGAATGTAGTATTCTGAAGGGGTTGTAACATTTGGTTATTCAAGCAGACTGTTTTAATGGATCAAGGAGACGGACTATCAATTCTTGAACATTTTTCTCAGTGAACCGCCAGTCTTTTTTGAGAGGTATAGGTTGGATCCTTCTGTTGTTTATCACAAGTACACAACAAAGTTACAATACTAAAATGTAGTTGTAAATCTGAACGTTACAATTCAAAATACGTGTTTAATGGAGGTTGTACAGGCCAAAACAATTCCATTGTCTAGCTTCATATTACATTTGAACCCTTTAATTCGTGTTCTGTTCACTAAATATTTTAAGAAGATATCTTGTATTTATTTTGTCAGAATTTCAGTTTGTTCTTTGTTATATTGCTACTAACACAAGGCTGTCGCCAGTTGAAACATTAGCCGCTACTTTGAACATGACCCTGATAACCAAATGCCCACTAGGCCAAATGCTATGTTGTAAAACCACCAAATGATGATGACTAAGAGGTTTCTAAAAGCAGGCTTTAAGATAAGATGGTTGTCTCCTTTCTCCAGTCCAGGTCCATGTTATCAAAGCACTTTAATGCTGGTTTAGTTAATGTCAGTGTCAAGTAGGAATGCGACACTTTATCTTGCAGAATACTTTTTGTTTTTCTCTCGTGTTCATCATTTATATTCTAGCAGAGCTAAAACGCTTAAATTACGCACACATTTTATCTGAGCAGATTTTGTGGAAAGCACAACAAATCAAGAAATGCACAATAAATCTGGGATATTTAAATTTGCTTTGATTTTAAATACCTCTGTTGTGTTTTAAAAAACATCATTCAATTTGAGTTTTCTCTAATTCTGACGTAGCATATTAAGGAATTCATTTTTAAGCCCACATACCGATAAACCACCAATGTCAAGCATTAGGACACACAGCAGTCACGTCTCTCACACTCCTACACCCCTACACACACTCTTTCTTTTTCCTTCACGTGCACGCTCACACGCAGGCACGCACACACTTATACACAGCCTGAAAATCTGTCAATTTCTGCCGCGTGGTCACGTGACCTCCTCCTCCGTAGAGTGGATGGAGATGGCTCTCCACGTCAGCCTACGTCTCCAAATGTCTGCTTAGCGAACCTGCTTCAAAGAGGCAGGAGGCACGGTGCTTCAGAGCCATGTTCAGGGCGGCTATAGAGGAATCAAAGCCCAACATAGAGTTATAGCAGAGGGTGAACTACGATGATGGATTTTGACGAAAGAGTCCCCGTCGGATCGAACATGTATTTGCCCAGCTGCACTTATTACGTGTCGGCGGGGGCTGATTTCTCCGGTCTTCCCTCGTTTTTATCCCAAAACCCGTCCACCCGCCCCATGACATACTCCTACTCCTCTAACCTGCCGCAGGTCCAGCCCGTCAGAGAGGTGACGTTCAGGGACTATGCAGCCATTGAAGCGTCCGGTAAATGGCCACACCGGGGGAACTTGCCCCATGGCTACCCCACCGCGGAAGACATGGTGCACCGGGACTGCATTTCGGCTCAGACAGCCGTCGTAGGGGACATGTTTGGTAAAAACAGTCCCGCAGCCTCTGCCGCGGCGTACCACCACCACCACCACCACCACCATACGGGTGCCGGATCCGCTGCCACCAATTTCTACGGGAACGTGGGCAGAAATGGCGTGCTGCCACAAGTCTTCGACCAGTTTTATGAAACCACATACGGGAATGCGTCGGAGAGCTCCTCCACAAATGGCTACACAGGAGATAAACAAGCGACCAAGCAGCCGAGCTCTGCCCCGGAGGACGCACCGTCGTGCCGGGACACCGAGACGAAGGAGACGCGGGAGGAGACGAGCAGCCCGGAGTTATCTTCCGGCAACAATGAGGAGAAATCCAGCAGCAGCAGTACGTATTAAAGTCAGCGCCTTGGTTATGAGAGAAAGTTTGCAATCTTGCGCGCTGCTGTTAACATTTTTATATGCTGTTTTATAAGCATATAAGGTTTATAGAGGGCCTGTAGACCCCCCACCCCCCAACAAAACTTTGTTATAAACTGCAGGATCACGTGTTTGGAATTGAAATTGGCCGTGAAAGACATCAGTTTGGTGATTTTTCTATAACACCTCTTGACGTTTACAAAAAGCACTTAGTTATGAATGTGAATTGTTACACAGACCTGCGTTAATTCCGTGTATTATTAACGTGCTTGTTTCACGGTTTGTAAGCGTTAAAAGAGCACTTGCATGTAATGAGGGCTGTGCCTCTGGTATAAAGTTAAGCATACATTAGATTTTGTGTGAAAGCCATCATAGAGTGTGTTCCAATATGTACATTTTCCCCTTTATATTTTCTATAAAACTAATATTTTGGTATAAACTAGCTAATGAAACGCGGTGCATGTATTTGAAGGTGAGCTTGTTGTTTTCATTTGGTAGGAAAGGTCAAAGCCCAAGTGTATAGTATAACAAACCAATATTAATGGTTTGGTAGTCTTTACAGTGTAATATAATATAACAATAAATTACACTTGAATGGGGAAATATGCTTTTTAATGCTTTATGTATAGAGGAAATCCGTTCATGCGTAATCTTGCAACATCCAGGGTTTAACAATCTTTTTATAACATTGTCATGGCTAATATGAAATGTTTATTTTTTTGACCGGTACACCTTTCTTTTTGTGCCTTCCAGATGGACAGAGGACCCGCAAGAAAAGATGCCCTTATTCCAAATATCAGATCAGAGAACTTGAGAGAGAATTCTTTTTCAGTGTGTACATTAACAAGGAGAAACGGCTGCAACTGTCGCGCATGCTCAACCTCACCGACAGACAAGTGAAGATTTGGTTTCAGAACCGTCGTATGAAGGAGAAGAAACTGAACAGAGATAGATTACAATATTATACGTCTAATCCTCTGCTTTAGGGATCAACACAACACCGTCACAGCGTCCACAGCACTCTGCTGTGGGACTGCCTGCGTTACCAGAGCGCCTGACTCCGGCTGTGACTCAGTGAACATTGTGTCCCACAATGGCCGCGACAGCAGCAACATTGCTCAGTGGTTAATTTCAAGTTCGAGGACAACAGTATCCTGGGATCTGAATGACCTAAAAACTGAGCATGAATTAAATCAATCGGTGGACTTTGATTTCGCTCTGAAGACTGTTTGGAGGAAAATGTAGAAAAGGATTGTTGTCCTCGCCAAGACTGTGCTTGCGAGGGCCCATGTTAATATTATTGTGACTCACAGACGCCTTGTTTATTTTCCTTTCACGCGGGCGGAAATGCAGTCACTCATTGACTGACTCAGTGTATTTTGTAATCAAAAGATTTGTTAAACTTTCTTTCTGTTTTTAAAATCAGAAAAGTGGGATTGAGGATGTTGGCGACTATGTGACTTTGATAACTGAATCTATATTGGTGTGACCAAATAATGAGTCCGAATGGATGAGAATGTAATGTGTTATTGTTTTGTGTCCTTATTTATTGTGTAGCCACTCGTTTACTATTTCCTTTATTGCCACGGCTAATTAAGTGAAAGTCCCTTATTACAAGCAGGCTATTGTGATTCCGTGTCTGGGCTGACTTCAAAAGGAGCTTTTTTCGTCTCTGCTGTAGACTGCAGAGTTAAGGCTATAAGTATATATATTTTGCGTACCTTTCAACACCCAAATCCATGTTGTCCTTTTTGATTTTTGGAGACTATCAATCAAGAATTGATGTTGCAGGCCAAAACCAGAGAGATAAGCTTGCCAGCTGGATCCTTGTGGAGTTGCACTGAGGTCACGCCCAACATATTCACACAGGTATATATGCAGCGGGCCTCTTCAGTCTTATATTGATACGCATAACAAAATGTTTTTCCACGACTCGTGATCCTTTGGTAGGCTACTTGCAGTCAAATGTAAAAAAAAAAAATGCTACATTTTTAAGTGTGCTATAAGGGCAAGGCTGGCCAGGGTCATCGCATTGAATCAATTGCTTGATATGCCCAAACTATTGTGTATTATACTATATTTCCAAATAAAAAACAAAATGAAAAGATCATTGAAAAAAAGAAATGTGCGTTGTCTTTGTTCTGTTTTTCCCCCTAGCGTGTCCAAAAAAATTAGATATGAACATTTGGTGAGTCAAATTACGCATATGTGAAACATTTTACGCACGCAATAACAACAGAATTACCTTTCGCTTGCAACAAACTTATTAAAGTCAAGTGACTTTATATGTTGCAAACAATTCAAAATAAGTGAAATGGAGTAAATCTGTACTCACATGCAAAATATGACCGTTCAACCAGGAACACACACAATGTAAATTATTTTAGTAAGTAAGTAATACATTTATTAATGAAGTTAAGTATTGAAAAATGCTATTCAATTACTGTAAATATTTAATAATAGGCTAGTTACTAATTAGTTAATTATAGTATCGATCAAATAAAATAAAATAGTTTAAAAAGCAAGGACTTTCATGTGTTTTCACATTGTTGTGCTGTTGTTTTTCAACTATTTTGAACCATGTCTCGGACCTTTTTGAAATGTATAAGATATTTACAACGTTTGCATTCTACCTAAAATACATCTTTGTTATTTAAGCAATGTTGATATCTTATATATCCATTATTATTTATCACAATAACATTTATGTTGCCAAACATTCAGTATTTAGCTATCTACATCGTGTTGTTTTATTAGCTCCACACTCTTGCTCTCTCTGTAGTAGTGTGTGTGTTTGTGTGTGTGTGCAAACTGTCATTTCGCTGATTGGCTTTGGAAACACTGTTCCAACCGCAGTCTCCTTTGGCGAGGGTCGCCATATTTGCTGTTGTTATCACTGTGTTTATGGGCGCTAGCCGCAGCGCATTGGCGTTCATATATGACAGTCAAAAGGGCCATAAACGCGGGGAGAGAGGCTGAAGTTTATGGTTGCCTCTCTCTGCCATAGTCCGGCCTTGCCTCGCGCATCCTTTACTGCGCGCTGGAATTCCGTCCCTAATTACGGGACATCCTCCCCGTTGCCGCAGCAACGCTGCCATAAAACCCGTCTGAGAGTCTGGGGCATTTGTACAATTGGAGTGCAGTGCAATAAACCGTCTGAGACCCAAGGTTATTAACTGTGTAACCAAGGAGGCGAGAGCAACGACAGTGAGAGGACGGATAGGAAAAGATTCTGCTTGCTCGCTACATCGACTTCAGTTGGGAGGCTTTTCCCCCTCGTGTGCTTTATCCACCTCGAGTCAGTTAGGTGCTGCTCTTGGGATTAGACTCACCTCCACCACCGGGCGGCGCTATTGGGACCAATGTCATGGCCGTGGATCTTTTCGTCTCCAAACTCACCTCGAATGCAAGCAGGTAAACGTATTTGTCACCCAGTCTATAGCTTAAACAGTTTTCTCCGTTAGGGAAACCTTTGTATATGTTCATCCCTTAAAAATATTCTTGCATACGAAGTTAGTTTAAGTTAGGAGCCGTTTGTATTTTAGTTTCCACATTTCTCTGGTGCTCACTGGGCCGTGCCGTGGAGAAAGTCTTCCTGGGGGCCCTAATAAGGCAACACATATGTGCCATGCCTTCTGCTGCATGTGCTATTCATTTAGCTGAGCTTGAGCTTTTTAATGGTTGAAGTATAGCATGGCCGGCATGTACCTGGAGAGGTCTGCAACTAACCAGTCTAACCACAAATGTTTTGGATTTGGGGAGTGCCTTAATTATTAATTTAAAAAAAACAATGGATACAGTTGGTACGTTAACGGCACAGCAGTAAGCATCTGGTGCTGGCTACAAAACAAATGAATACATTGATGAAATTCTTCTCAAGCTAATGCAGCTGATCTTAAATCAGAGCATCTCTCTTGTATTGCTCCTTCCTCTTCAAAGGTTCCGCTAACAACATTTAGCGTCCTCCCAAATCACATTATTCCCTCTACGTGCCAAGTATATGAAAAGTGCTTTTAACAGAGACGATTTGATTATGATAAGGCAGCAATCGCGTCTCCTTTTCCTTCCTGTCATTGATACAACGCTGAGGCTATTCGGTGTCAGTGCGAGTGGCTATTCTGAACCTTGATGCGTGCGGACCTAGTCTCGTTCTCCTTTGTCTCTCGTGAAAAATAAATGCTTCCGCTGGATGTAATAAAACGCCGCATTATTGTTCATAACTGCACTCGGGACGAACATGATACGACTCAAACGGCCTCTCCGGCCACTATTATATGGGCCGGATCAAAGCCAGTGGTCAGAGTAAACTGTGTTGAGGATATAATAGCCGGGCAGCTGTGAAAATGAAGATTTAATAGCTACAATTAATAACTGTAACACGAAGATATCGATAGGCCCCCCTACCAGTACAACACCATGAAGTGAATGCAGGCCAACACAATGTAACATGGGCACACATAATTAATGGGTGTATTTAGTTTCCTTAGTGGCTCATATGTCCTACAAGCAACAGGCCACTGCAGGGACGAGAAAACATGCTTTAAACCTATTTATGTTAGTTAGTTTGTATGTACATTGTATTGTTTTTTTTTAAATGTTTCTGGGGGATTTTGCTACAGGCACACACGTTTGGCGCACGGCCTTTCTTGTTAAAGCTCCCCCACTGAACATACTAATTACTTTATATATTTCTACAGCATATCACTCTGCTTTAAAATAAAGCATTGTATTATTTTCGTATACACATAAATAACCTTCAATCATGTTATAGTAATTTAAATAATTTGAAGTATGTGAGATTTGAGCAGGAGCGATTGACAAATGTCCACCATCGACGCGCTAAAAACCTAAGCCAGTGTACATCAGTGAGCTGTCATTGACGGAGCGTTTGAAAACCTAAATGGGCTCAATTTATGAATTTCCCCTCAATCTTTCTCATTTCAATACAACAGGCTGTATACGAACCCAGGGGGTTAGCGGCCACCTGGGCCTGGTAATGGCAAAGCTGGCCGAGATTAACTTCAACCTGGAGAGAGAATAGAGTGCACATGGCCAAGGACACTAGGAGATGGAAGGAGAGTTTTATTGTGGCTCTTATTGCCCCAAATTGGACCGACAGGATGACTTGTATGTCTGCTTTCCTTTCGCACATTGTGCCTGTTCCCCGTACAACACCGCGATCAATACGTTGATAGTTTAACAAGTCAAATGCTTATACTGTGCTCATTTTTGATTTTTTTTAATTGAACATGTTGTAGGCTGCCGCAGTATTTATTTGCATTTCTTATAATCATCTTTGTGCCGACAGCCTTTGAACGAAAGTGATTGTTTTACCTTTTCTGTCCCATGCGTAATGACTTTGGGTACAGATAAACTAATTTCCATATCCTAAATGACTGAAAACACCCATAAATACAACCATTATTAATGCAAATGTTGTTAACAAATAGTTTTATAAAAAAATACCTCTTTGTTTTATTTTGAGACATTAAATAACGAATATTCAACCAGAGAGAAAACCAGTAACGAGCTCTAATAAAAAACGTTATTGTGTATAGGTTTTACATAATATTTTAATAAATAGATGTTTACAATGTGAAGAAACTCCTTTAACATTTAGGAAACTATCTGTTTTGTAAAACCTTTTTTTCGTCAAATTATTTTAGTTCTTGATGACAAAGATTTGGTTTGCCGTTGTTTACGCACGGGCATAGCGTTCCTCATCTTAATGAATTACACATAAATAAATATAAATCCAACATTTTCAATCAAAAACGGTTATGTTTGATGTAAAAGGGATTTTTTTTGATGGATTACAACAAGGCAGTTCAAGGATGTACATTTGATATTGAATCATTCAGAGTCCTCTTCTGTGTAACAAAACATAAACGAAAATCAAAAGAGAAGAACAAAGAGTGTCTGATATTACTCTTCTTTCTTCAGGCTACATTAGTGTTAACACCTTTGCTTTTAGTGCGGAAGAGCAGGCTGTCCTAAGGCCAGAGGATGCACCATATAAAACAGCTTTTTGCCAAGTCATTTAGCTATAGGCGAATTCTACCTACAGTTAAAACATTTTATTACCTTTAAGTCCCTTGCTTTGTTGTCGTTTGTGGCTTCTGCAGTGCCATACTTGATTTGCAATCTTAGGGCCATATCTACCTCATGTAAGGAAGTATTTCTTTAGAGCGTCTTTAACAAAAGGAGATGGTAATATTATTATAACGTTGTGTTCCACGACTCCTACTTGAGGTAAATTAAATCTGAAAGGCTGATACTGCGTTGCACCTATTTGAGCTGTGTGGTACATTTTGATTTGAATATAGGACAGGAGCAATCAGCTTCAGACATCAGTCAGTGATTTTTTGATGGGATTTCAAAACTTGTTTAAAGAATGTATTAAAGAAATGCATGTTTTTTCCCCCTTTACAGCTATGCAGTTGTTAAACTTTGCATCATGTTGGACCTCGCCCCCGGTAATGGTGGTGCACTAAGGCGAGGTGAGGGAAAACACTGATTGCTCTGCTGCCTCCTTTCTCTGCCTCAGCTCCAAGATAGATATCGCTCCGGCAGCTACGTAGCCTCTGAGTGGGAGGGACTGCCCATCTTCCAGCATTTCCATTGGTTTTACATTCTGCACGGCAGAAAGGGGGGTGCCTCTAATCATATCCAGCATGTTTTGCACAAGAAATGTCAGCCAGAAAGGGCTATCTTCTTCCTTCGCCAAAATACACCACAATAATGTCATGTTCGGACAGCCCGTCAGGAAATGCGTTTTTAGTGGATTCTCTGATCAGTGGCCGCAATGAAAGCGCCGGAGGTCACTATGGGAGCGCGGTGTGCGTGCCTCACAGCACTGCTACCGAAGTGCCTTACGGACTACACAACTATGGATACTTCCCAGGTATGGGTAAGCGAAGCGAAGTGGGTCCTCCAAACATGGTTTCCGCCTCTGGCCCGTACATGCCCAGCATGGAGATGTGGATGGACGCGCAGAGGTCATGTCGAATGGACCAAGAGCACCCGGTGGGTCCCCAGGTCGCGCCCTGCTCATTCCCGCAGAATATTAAGGAGGAGAGCACCTACTGCCTGTATGAGCAGCCAAAGTGTCCTAAAGCCTCCACCGCGGAAGATCTCACTTATTCGAGGTTAACAACAGCTGGCCTAGGTTCGAGTTCTTGTACAGTTACCGATGGCGGCGGCGGGGGCTCAGTGCCTGTGCCGGGCTACTTCCGCTTGTCTCAGACGCACGCACATTCTCATAAACTTTACAACACTAACGGCCCCCAGCCGAACCCTTCCCATTCTCATTTTGGCCTACACCCCATTGCTCCCGCTCGCTTCAACACGCCACCAACCTCGACTTCTGCTCCAGCCACGGCGCAGGAGGGGAGGAACACCGAGGAGCCTGTGTCCTCGGGAAAAGCAGACCTGCAGCCTCACGCGGCACCGGGAAGCGACGAGGCACGCGAGTCCTCGGATGCAGAAGCCTCCTCAGCCGACGAGACAGAAGAGCATGCCAAAGAGAGACCATCAAAGACCACCAAAGGTAATCACAGTTCATCATAGGTGTGGCCCCGCTCTGTTGTTTTGTTTGCATACAGCGCAGGTAGAGAGAGGGTTTTTTTTTAAAGGCACCTGTGAAGTTCTATTTCACTGGTTAGACTTGCAGTGATAAATCAACTCACGGTCATGGTAACTCTGCATGTATTTATAGTCACCAAGTCTTTGTTCTCTAAGTTGTAGTGGTATCAGTAGTATATGATGTATGTATACGTATACGTATGTGTATGAATAAGCCCAGAAAGATTATGCGTAAAATTTGAAAAAGCAAGTTAAAGGGCTAAGCTAGGTTTGTTTTGATTAAAAAGTCCTAGAGGTATTAACGATGCTATGATAATTTGTCTCACATGCATAACATATAGGTTTTACATTTATATCAATTACAATTTACCTATAGACTGAACCAGTATTTCGTTTGAGTACTGCGTAAAATGCAGGCTAGTCAGTCGTTATATTCATGTAGGCCATTTGATACTGTCTGTGCCATAATGCCTTTTTATTATTTCACTTTCTATGTCACAAAACACTTTCTTTTTAAATGAACGATTTGTGTAAAAGATGACTTTCAAACATTTGCAGTATGATGAATCTAACAAAGCAACCATACTTTACGCGTAAACTACACCTATATACAGAGACACACACATAAAGGACACACACATGTTACGCTAGTGTGTGTGTGTGTGTGTGTGTGTGTGTGTGTGTGTGTGTGTGTGTGTGTGTGTGTGTGTGTGTGTGTGTGTGTGTGTGTGTGTGTGTGTGTGTGTGTGTGTGTGTGTGTGTGTGTGTGTGTGTGTGTGACAGTGACACAACCATAAACACAAACACAGATTCACACAATAGCTTTATTGGTATACAAAGCAATTTATACAACGATTTTCATATTACCTATTATATGCAGGTGTCACACACGCAGGCTCTATATCTTTCACACACACACACACACACACACACACACACGCACACGCACAGTCCCCCATGTTGCAGTGCGTAAAATGTATCTGCCATTTTCTTTAGGAGACGCAAAAATTCATAGCACGGCCAACTGGCTGACAGCAAAAAGTGGCCGGAAGAAACGCTGTCCATACACCAAGCATCAGACTCTGGAGCTGGAGAAGGAGTTCCTCTTCAACATGTACCTGACCCGAGAGCGCCGCCTAGAGATCAGTAAAGGCGTCCACCTGACGGACAGACAGGTTAAAATCTGGTTCCAGAACCGCAGGATGAAACTGAAGAAAATGACGCGGGAAAACAGGATCCGGGAGCTCACATCCAACTACGGATTTTCATGATGAACAAGGTGATCAAATTGAAATAGAAGATGTTTGGTGAAATCAATGACACCCTCCCTCCTCCAGCACCCCCACACCCTTCCTCACCACTCTGTCCACCTAAGACTCATTTCACTGTGGGGTACTACTTTCTTGTATTTCCAGACACGCTTAAAGTCGATGCATCGTCCTCTGTGCGCTATATTGAGAATAAGAAAATGGGGAAAAATTGAATGTAGAGTTTTATTTGATTGTTTTCTGATATTGTGTTTTTGTATCGTCTACCTGTTTCTGTCCCTTCTGTCGTATGGTTGGATAGTGTCGTCAGTGGAGTTAAATTAACGCAATTTAAAAACATTGTGCACTTGAAGGTGGCTTAAATGTTCCACTTTTCCCCAAACCGCTGGCAAATAATCCTAAATTTATTCAAACAAATATTAATTTGTTTTATTTTAATTTGAATTGCATGATATTATATTTTCCTATACATTTATTTTGTAGTTATTCAATCACTCTGGAATATAACACCCATGTACCACAAGGGAAGAAGAAGAATTCACCTGTGATCATTAGATGTATAGTCCACCATGGTATAGGCCTATTCTATGTACGAGCTAAATGTATGAGTCGGATCTTTAATCACGTTGAGGACGTTTACACGAAAAAGGTGTGCAAAGTGAAATAGGAATGTTTCTATTGTATATTTCTGTGTACATATTGTGTTTTTTGTGTAATGCTTAATAAATTATCAGCTCGCATAGAAGAGTAGCTGCCTGTATTTTTGTATTTATATCTCTAAAGGCAAAGTCTACAGAAGCAGAAAAAACATTCTGTTTGAAATGCAAAACCCCAAATAACATGGCCTCCATCAATGGGGGCACACTGTGTGAACCAGCTGACAAATGTAGATGCTAATGTAATGGCCATCGGAAATAATTAAGATATTAGGCTATAAGCCGTCTAGCTGCATGCTCAGCCGGCTATTGTAGAGTTTTATGACTGGCTGGTATATGAGGTTTCTCCCTCTCCTCTAAGAGCTGCTTCAGTCGTGGGAGAGCCTTTCAGACGGAGAGGAGGCCTGGCTCTCAGCTAGAAATCTGAACTGTAGCCTACTCATACAATGGATAAAACATAACCTGCTGCATTAATTTGGGAATACTGGGATTAACGTTTCGAGGATCGGGTAAGTCCATTTATCATTGCGAATGTGTTCATTTTTAGCCTTGTTGCACCGGCTTCACGATAGTGTTTACAAACAGATGTACTTTCTTAATACAGACGATGTTTTGGACACATGATGACGGGACCGACGACCACGGTGCATTATGAATTGGCTGATTGTGTTTCACTTGAGGCCCGGATCGACTGTCGAGTGGTTTAGGTAGTTTCATGTTGTTGGGGTCCATTTCTAACTCTGCAACATGAAACTGTCTTAATTGCCCCAGTTCCACTCTTCGAAACCAAAAGGAAAGCAAATCAGGGACATACAGATGATCGGGTTTGATGAACATTGTGGAGAAGTATTTTGGAATCATGTTCTAAACCCCACTATTTTATAAACCGGGGAGTGGTGACTGGCTGTTGTGTATGTTCTTAACCTGTCTCCTGTAATGTTTTCCTTAGACTTCTTTAGTTGGGTTTCGTCGTTAAAATAAGCCTACGCGGCCATGTGTGCTGGATTTAAAATGTGATCAAAGCTGAACTGCAGTATGCGTCGTAGATTTGGGATTAAGGGTAAAGCCGTGAGTGTTTTCCGTGAGTAGTAGTGACGCAGACACGCCAGACAAGGCCTCGGTTACGACCACTGCAGTGGAGGGGAAGGGGAAGGTGAATGGGGCAACAGCGACCTCCGTGGGCAGTGAGACCGGATGCTTCCGCTGCGCAATAGTATCTCAGACAAAAGGAGGGGAAGGGCTTTATGGCGATATTTAGATCCGCCAGACAGGCTGTTATCTCCAGAGGCAAAAGAAGTGAATAGCCCCTGTGGTAAACTGGGTGAAAAAACACCCTGATTTAGGTTTACAGCCTGAGAGCCATTGGCGTATTTTCCTCCTCTGAAGGTGTTTGTCTATTCTAAGTTTTAGTGCACAAATAGGCGCACAGCCACTCCTTTCCCCCCCTCGGGTTGTTTGATGTCTGTTTGCCAAATAAAGTGCAAGTACCACAGAGGTGATAGCTTGCAACCAGTATGCACATTATGGACAGCTTGTGCGTTTTTTTTCGTCTTTGCTCCTCTTTTAAATAGTAAGAACAGAGTGGAAACAATTCCTGCATGATAATTGCCTGTGGCCTTGTGGGGTGTTGGCCCAGCTCTCCGTTTATTTGATGGTAATAAATAAAATAAAATGCAGCGTAATATGCGAGAACTCAAGGGTTTGCTCTGCAGACGTGATCTGCGATGTGGGGAAAGGTTTAGGATAATGTGGATAATAATACGCACACAGTTAAAACGTTTTGGGAATATCCACATTAAAATGAAGTTAAGAATACATTTTCTCTAAAATAAAAACAATCTCAGTATATTGTTAATTTTATATTATTTCAATCTGTAATCCATTTATTATCAGCTAAACTATTAAGAACTCCAACAAATATAAAGCTACATTTGTTTTTTATGTTAACGCCTCTAGTGCGCAATTTGCTCATTGTTTAATAACATTAATTTAATTTGTCTGTTACATTTTACAAGCTCAATATTTACAACATGCATTTTAAATGTGCTGTTGTCTACTGGTGTTCACCACCACTGCTCGCACCATTTGATTTTAAAAGGAGAAAACCACAAGCACCACATTACACATATGTTTAGCTATATTTAAGTGTAACGTTACACCGAGGCACTGGCTGCTCCCAGGCATCAGAGTTAATTTGTTGTTGGTGATGATGGCGAAATATAGGCCCATACAAGTGATAACTGCAGTGTAAATAATAAACGGGTTTAACGGAGAGTTAAGCAAGGAGGAACCGGGAACCGCCAGTAATAGTACTAGGAACTTATTTCATAAATATTCGGCCATCGTGAATCAACTCAGTGGATCAATAACACAATACTGCATATTTTGTTCATCTTTGTTATCTATTTTTAATATCTTTATACATTTGAATTTTATTATTTTCACAACTTGCTTCAAGTTATATATATATATTTTATATTGAACCCTTACCCAAATATTGCTTTACATTATATAAAATGCAATTATTAAATATCCAGTAACTGTTTTATTTGGTGTATAGTTTAACGTCGTAATTACTGCCAAACCTGCAACTAACAAGACACATTTGTAACTGAACTATTCCTGCTCAATTTTCATCTTATTCACATTTCCCAAATAAAATCTCATTCATTTTTAAAGTAGTAATCTCGTGTTTGTTTTATTTTTACTATTGGAAATGTAGTGCTGCAATATCTTCGTAAAACTACATTTGCTGTAATGTGAATCATTACTTGTTGAAGTCGTAGCCTGCACATTTACAGTGATGTGGAAATATCTTGTCTAAATCACAAAATGTGGTTATTGTTAAAAAAAAACACATCATATATGCATTATGCTTATATGCGTCTGAAGTGTGTAAATTAGTATAGGCCCCCAAACAACTATATTGTTTAAGTAAATGAGAGAGGGAAAATAAGTATTTTAGACTTATTTTAGATGACCTGCATAACTTGTTGGTGTTTGGCAGTTTTGTCCGTAAAATGTGTTAAATGCAAAATGCAGAACAAGGCCATTGGAAGATGTCTGCATCTGATACAGCCGAATAAAATGAATAATGCACTTTGTAAAGTTATTTGAGATATAGGCGCTCTTTCAGCCTTGAGCTGCTTAGTTTCTTTAATATAGTGGTGGTTGAAACGTGTTTAGGTGAGCAGCAATAGTAGGGTGCTTACGTGTCCTATAAAGTACCTCGTAAAATCAGGCCTCTAAAAACATACTGTATAGTTTTGTGCAACCAAGAAGGGATGTTAACAGCAGAAGCAGGTTAGGATACTGTAGCAATTATTTTACTCATCACTTCTTTCTTATTTTCTGTTTTACAGAAAACAGATCCAATTTATAAATTGATAATTCCTAGCTTTAAAACTAGAGGTTGTTATAGGAGAGCGGGTGAGTATTTAATGACCAAAGGGATTGATTTATCCTTTATTGTTCAGCCTTTATGATCACGTGTGACTGCTACCCAATGGCGTGGCAGCTTGTCTCCCCATTACTAGCCCACTGTAGTTCTCTGTGGGGCCAAGTTGCTACTCGATTTCTCCACATTGTTATTTTGTGAGGCTGGCTTTACTGCGTGTGAATGTGTGTGTGGTGTGTGTGTGCGCGTTTTACTTTTTGCATGTATCTGTTGTATGACTGCGTACATGTAATTTCTCTGCCATGTCGACATCCGGAACACTAACTAGTTACTACGTCGATTCCCTCATTCTGCCCGAGAGCGAGGAGCTCTCTGTGCCGAGATACCCCTCCGGTCCTGGGCTCCAGCACTCCAGGCATCCCGCCTCCATCAGCGACCACAGCGAGCTCGGGACCTGCACTTTCCCGTCCAAACCTCCGGTATTCGGGCCATCATGGAGCCACGTCCCGGCTCAGTTCCCGGGCAGTGTTTCCTCTATGTACCATCACCACTACGGGCATCATCAAGGCCCGGTCGGTGCAGATACAGATAGCCGCTATCAGTCATGGCTGCTGGAGCCTATGTCCGGTTCCCTGCCCATGGCCGGATTACCGACGACCCATCACTACGGAATCAAACCGGAGGGTCTAGGCGCGCGAGCTGACGGCGCGCTGCCCGGCTCTCACACGGCGCTGCTGCTCTCTGATTACGCCAACGGAACCGTAGCGACGGCATCACCGGGGGAAAAGGACGCACTGTCCGTCCACGCAGGGGACACGAGCGGAGAAGCTGACGAGAAACCAGGCCTGGATCCAAGTAAGTCGCTGCAGAGTCCCCAATGTTTATAGTCTACTATTTATACCACATTTAGCTGTGAGGATTGGGTGCGTGATGGGGGTGCGCGTCTGAACAGATGCCATTCTGAACGTGCCATTTCCTTATGGGGACTGTTAATGGCCCAGCTCCCATTGCTATATTAGATAACCTTTCGCAGCTTTTCAAGTGGCCGTGTGCTCAGAGAAATAGTTTTATTTGGTGTAGCTGCGGTTGGACATGTGTAGCCATTTTCTTCTCATCTTAGAGTTTTTTTCTTTTTCTGAGTCCAATTATGAGTGATGTTTGTTTTCGAATTGGGTTACTCAGCACCGGGCCCTCACACAAATGTCGCCCCCCCCCTCACTTTTTCCAGATAACCCTGTGGCCAACTGGCTCCACGCGAGTGCCACGAGAAAAAAACGCTGTCCGTACACCAAGTACCAGATCCTGGAGCTGGAGAAAGAATTCCTCTTTAACGCCTACCTGACCAGGGACCGTAGGTATGAGGTGGCGAGGCAGTTAAACCTCACCGAGAGACAGGTTAAAATCTGGTTCCAGAACCGCAGGATGAAGATGAAGAAGTTTAATAAAGAGGGCGCACCGAAAGGGATTGACTGAACCTTTAGACATTTGGCTGTTGGCGAGCTTTGTGCGTGGAAGCTCTTAACTCTGCTGGACCTTGTTTTTAAACTTCATTGTCTTATTGTTCTATATAACAGAAGCTATTAGGCTTAATTGTCCTGTAAAAAAAAAAGCATGTTGGGCTTTAGTTTGATGCGACTACCTTTATATTGCACAATTTTAACGGTGCCCACTCGTTTTGTATTTGTTCTTTTATTATTTTGATTTTAATTAATACCTCGTTAAAGTGTATTAGTTGGCCTGGTCCATGTGCTCGTTTGTGTATGGATGTTTAGCTGCGTGTTCCGGTTCTTAGCTATATTTGTTGTCCATCTCAGAGTCACCTGAGCGTAGTTTGTAAAAATGTATTAATTTTATTGTTGTTTCTCCCTTACTGCTTAGAACTATGACTGATGACCCTGAGTTTGAATCTAACATTGGAGCCGTATTACAGACTGGTTGCATTTTGAAGTAGGTGGTGAATAGACCTCAGAAACCTCTTGAAGATGCTAACATGCTAAATTAAAAGATGTTATGGAAGCTCAATCACACGACACGATTGACTACCTATGTCTTTCAACTACCTACAATAACCTTTTTTTCGATGGCGGATTATAGGCTAGGTTTGCTTGCATTAGATGCTGGAATTTCAGGGAGTAACATTTTTGGAAGTACATACTGTTTGTTAGTGAGAGACATTTAAATAAAACACTGTAGGCTACTTAATGAATACCTCACGGTCTGCTGACCGTCTGACTTTTGGTTCACAAATGTAATTTGTACTTTATTTATTAAATAAAACAAATTATATCTGCGAATGCATGCACGTCACACTTTTATTTCACGTCGGCTAAACACTGAAATTATAGTTTTTTATAAATTATTGCTTGCTGCATAAAAAGTATTATTTGGAAGCTGTTGCACTCCGGTTAATATGAAGGTTATTGTTGTCAACTAGATATCACCCCCCCCCCCCCACACACACACACACACGCACACACACACACACACACACACACACACACACACACCCTCTAAAATATATAAATAACATCAATCAATTTTCATTTTGCAATAAAGAAATATCAATTTATTGGACATTCATTTATGGAGAATTAGGCCCAATAAAATTAAATAACATCTTAAATGTGTTTTAAAAAACGTTTAAAGCTTTCAATTTTGCAGCACATACACCAAAACACACCAACACTAATAGAAACGCACACACTTAAAGGTGGATTTGTCCGTGTTCCTGGATTGGGGACGGAGCTGCGTCTTGGCAGAGGATGTTGTTAGCTGTATACAGCCATAAAAGACAATTACCGCTATAACCTTTTATGGGGTGCAAAGCGCTGCGAGGCGAGAGGACACAAAACAAAAAAAGACATCGAGGTCTTCGACAGCTGAAGCCCGAAATAATGCAGCCGATGTGTTGCTGTTCAGCTCAGATATGACAAGGACGCTCAGCTAAAAGCTCCATCATTGGCACATGTCGACATAACCAATCTACAACACTAAAATTATGAAATATAACAACTCAGAGGATTTAGCTTGGCCTCAAAAAGTAAATACCAAAGGTTTTAGAGAAGAGTTCTACCTTTAAAACAGGACGTTTGCAAGGCCGGTTCAAGTCTCTGCATGTTGGAAAAAATATGTGGCACAAGGACATAGCAAATACGAGAAGCAACAAATCACATTTGAGCTAGCTGCAGAGCTTTACATCTGATACTCGATCAGCATGCTTCTGTCATACACCAGGTTGTTAAGTTCTCTTAAACACAACACATCCACTGGGAGATTACTGTAGTTAGAGGGTAAATAGGACTTTAGTCAAACTAACTGGAGTGCTGTTGTGACGCGTTAGGGGACGCAGATGGACCCAAACTTCAAAGACTCGAGCAGAGACAGTGCAATAAAACGCCTGGTCTGCTACACTGTCTGGCATTCCGCAGTTGTAATGGCTTTATGGCCGTCCAGACACAATTAGGCCGTTTCCAGAATGGCACCCATTTGTTTTTTCTTCTCTTTACGTGGGACTGCACCCTGGACAAAAGGCCGAGCGGAAATGATCAGCTTTATTGGACTCTCCCCGACGGGGACGTTCAGGACTCATGGTCATTTGGAGAGATCCTTTGTTTCTACCTGGGAACCTTCCGCCCTCTGCTCCTTAGCTTGGCCCTTCCTAAAGGAGAAAGAGCCATAAAGCCAGCAGCTAGCTCCAAACAGTGGTAGGCCTACAGATACTGCTTATTCAAAAATACATCTGGACATTTCTGTTAAATCGGTACTTTGGATAAAATCACAACCGAAGAAACATACTGCTTCATTTTGAGATATGTTTCTCTCCCTTTTTATCTTGTATTTAATCCTTGATTGCAGCAGAAAAACACAATGCCTGCGCACATGCTGCCTCTCCACCTTGCAGTCCCCACAAGTCCCCAGATGGTGGCGACACTGTTCCACAACATCACCCCACCATTTTTAACACTCCTCCCAATGAACCTGCACTGGGAAACAAACTGTAGTAACATTTTTTAAGAGACCACGCAAATAATTTCACACCTTTTTACAATCTCAGTGCAGAAACTGTTTCTCCAGCCTATGGCTCAGCAGAGAAGAAGCAAGCAGTGAGCACGCGGACTGCAGGATTACTGCTGCCGCCCTCAGATAGGACGCTTTCTGTCCAATGTTTCTATTTCTTTAACGTTTCGACGGCTTAATTGACGCAAATCATTTCAAACTGAACTTGTAATAGTAGAAATAATAAAGCAATAGTTAGATGAAATATAACATGAATAATTATTAGTAATGTCCTAAAATATGCCATTTCCATAAAGGGGTTTACAATTTAAATTATGAACACATAATAACGCAATCAGTTTTCCATGTCCTAAAATCAACATTTTACCTTAAAATATTTGGCAAATTCAGGGTATATTATCCATTATTATTTTTCAAATTTGAATAGTTATTTTTAATTGTTACTATAACCATTTGCTTTCTTGTAACTCTGCGTATTTATTAAAGACATGCTTTATGCCAATTTATTGAGATAACATTGTTAAGCCGTTAAAAATAAAGCAAATTTGGAGGATGAATTAGGTGTTATTATTATTATTATTATAAAATATTATGTATAATGTTTCTAAATTCTCAACTAAGAAAATCTCGAAGCATATTTTGGAAGAAAGTATTAAACACTATCTTGTTTAAACTTAAAAATCGAAACTTGCATTGTGCATTATTTCTCTACCAATATTTTTTACATAAATGATATAATCAAAATATTTTCTTTACCAAGCGACTGTAGGCCAATTTATAATTTAGAAGAGTAACAATAAAAATCACCTTCTGTCGGAATTATTATATTTTTAGTTCGAATATCAAACTATATTATATCCAGCTATTATGTATTGTTTATTAGTGTATGAACGAGTGTGTGTTGATTATTACCTTCAAGAAGGCACAATGTATTCCACGAAGGTAAACACAAATAAAATAATACATCTTTTAAATAGATGATTATTTGTAGTGCACTACTATGAAAGATGACAAAAGCCCATGACCTTATACAACCTAAATTACCTCTAGATCACTGGGATTGTGAGAATTTCTCTCGTGTGTGTTTACATGTATGTGTTTGTGTGTGAAGTGTTAATCCCACTCTGCAGTCCTGCACCATAATGAAACCACTGTCTGCATGCTGATTGGATGAGAGCTGCCAGGCCTGCGTCACGTGGATGAGTTCTTTGGTCCAGAGTAAAAATGGGGTTTGGTGTAAATCTAGGCTGTATTGCTGTCATATATCACGCTACCTCGTAAAAACGACACTGAGGATTCTGGGCCAACAAATCAGAGAGAAAAAATATGAGTTCTTATTATGTGGATGGTCTTCTTAGTAAATATACGACGGCTACTTCTCTCTTCCCAAACGTGGAGCGGGCTTCTTGCAGTATTGGACCCAGTGGAGAGGACTATGGCTCGGCTCACACTGCTGCGGCCATCGCCTTTGCACCGTCTCTGTCCGGAGTTTACAGCGTCAGCAATGCAGTGTACCAGAGCCGCCCCGTGTTTACTTCGGGATATGGCCGGGGGCAGGACGCACACCCACTGCACTGCAGCCTGTTTGACCAGAGCCGCCTGTTCACCGACAGCTGCTGCCATCCGGAGCCGGGACCCCTCACCTCGCCGCCGGACAAACAATACCGGATGTACCCCTGGATGAGAGGATCAGGTATTTGCTGATACTGTCTCTTATGTGCTATATGAAAGCCCCTCAGGTCAATGCTTTTACAAAACATTGGGATACTTACATTGGCCGTTAGTGGTTCAATTAATTTCGTGAAGCCATTGGTGTTGCATGGGAAGAATCGTAAAACTTTTATTGCGCAACTAATGAGTTCTGCAGCCATAAATTCATTTGGCCAGCGCTTCTGTGTGTTCAGTACGCAGAGACCTTGCCGCTGGGGGTTTTCTCTGCACTTCTATTACTCTTATAGCCTCTTCTCCCCTTTGTGGTTGTAAAAAAGAAGGCATGTTGTGTAAATCAGTTCTCTTGCACTCTGCAGCTCCTTTCTAATTGGGTCTGCACTGCAGAGGCTCTGGTATTTTCTAAAACTATTTTGTATGCACATTGCTGGATCAATATGCACCAGTATTGTCTGTTACATAAAGAAGTCAAGTGGATTTAGAATGAAAATAATTTGGAACATTGGCATTTGTTATAATTTTGAGGGTGAAGGTGTTGAGGCTGTAATCTAATTACTTATGGCTCCTTAGGTGCACAGAGCATCGCTGGCTTTTAATTGGAAAAGCATGCAGAGTTTCAAAGGAGGCATGCACCAAGTATCCCAGCAGGACTACTTAGATGCAGATGCAGAGACATTTGAAAAATAATAATATCCCCTACTGATTTGAGGAGTGTTTTCGTATGTGTGTGTATTTGGTTAGGTGTAATGTACAAATGTAAGCCACAATTAATTGCGCAGTCACAACTAAATTAATGAGCCCCACAATAATTCCAAGTAAGCCTACACGTTTTTTATTGTCGTCATCAATTTCAACACCACTTTAATTTTTTTATAAATGCTTTATGAAGCGTCACATTTCCTACATGTCGAGACAAATGTTTTATTGGAAGTGATACAGAGCTAGTGCATTTTATCTTACAGATCCGAACAGAAAGCGGGGACGGCAGACTTACTCCCGGTACCAGACGCTGGAGCTGGAGAAGGAGTTCCACTTTAACCGGTACCTGACCCGCAGGAGGAGGGTCGAGGTAGCCCATGCCCTCTGCCTCACAGAGAGGCAAATCAAAATTTGGTTTCAGAACCGCAGGATGAAGTGGAAGAAGGACAACAAGGGGCACCCGGTGCCGGCCCCCGGGGAAAAGGACGATGGTATCCAGGCGGTTTCAGAGGCCGGAGAGCCCGAAGCTGGAGAAACCCGGAGCCCCGGTTTGGAGTCAGAAACGGCTGCAAAGTAACAAAAGACACGCACGGACAGAGGATTAAATGGAAGAACCACAACATTAGAATGCGTAAGGGATATATCCCAAATGTCACATACCATTCATGCACTCAGAGCTCGGTATGCTGATTAATTACACGACAGCTGAAGGCAATAATGTAATAAACATTTAACAGTAGGCTATGTCACTATTTCAAACCCAAAATACATAATAAGGCTCCGCATGAAATACCGATATGAACTACCTATCCAAATGATATATCTTTTTTAAATATGCAAGAAAATGTAACCTGATTATCTACTGAATTAACATTCCTTAACGAAAGACTACCTATTTTATGTTTCACATTTTCTTGCTCGCATTAAAACACCGACACAATGAATTCAGCGCAATTTGAAATTGATTGTAAAATAAACGAATCTACCTATTCGAGTATTTTTCTCCAGACTATTGCAACTTTTATGAAACAAGTAGGCTATTATTTTTGCGCATATGTGCCTTATTCTGAGTAGGCGAATTACAAATAAATGTCTTGTTAGTTAAATGCATCCAACTGTGATTTAGATGGTTCTGTACATTTCAGTAACTGTTACTTTTTATTGTTATTTTTAAATATAACTCACTTAGAATGTAAATGTGCCTGTTTTCGACACCTATAGCTACTATTTGCCCTTCATACATCCCATCATAACAACTATATTTGTTTGTGTTGATATGACCTTCATATGTAACCTACCTCAGATTCCAGGAAAGTCAGCTATAGCTTATTATTGCAACACCCTCACGTGAACATTTTAAGTCTTATCCGTGCAATTATAAACTATTCTTGCCTTTTTCATTAAGAAATATGTTCAGGTCAAATGAGTTATTGTCTGTGAATGCTAAAACAAAAATAAACGCATGCACTTTTATTTTAACAGCAGTACATTTTAGTAGCCTATAAAGGCATTTCTTTTTGTTCGTGTACAATAAGTAAACTCAAAATGTGCAAAAACTGTGATGTATAAATATTTAGTGCCAACGTTTAGTTGTATAAGTAACATGTAAACCAATAAATATAAAAAAACCGTATACCTCTGGGGATGTTTTAAATAATGAAAATGAAAATATATTTGCATGACATTACATGCTTTTTCTATTACCAAGCATTTGTTTGCATGTAATATTAAGTTACCCACAGCAAATATGATCATAATCATCAGTCATAATAACATGTACCGGTTGAGTAATAATATGTTGCTTCCAGTCAGTGCTGTTGACTGACGCCAATATCAGGTTGCATGTAATGAAACTTGTTGCAGTCCATTATGAGTGTAAGGTAAACACTTTAGTTTGGGAATGTGAGCTATGAGGATGCGAGATGGGGCAGGCTGCAGATGAAGGGAAATTGCTGTTGAACTCTGCATTCCCTCTGTCCTCGGTAAGATGGCGCCTGACGGTGACCTGCCCCCTTCCTTCTCCTTTCTCTCCCCCTTCTCCCCCCCTCCCTTCGCTTCCCATCTCCTCCAGCACTGGGTCATAAATCCGTTGTTGTTTATGAAAATTTACAACATGGCAATACAACTTTACGACCGGATTCGTCTTCCCATTGGTCGCAGCTTGTCACGTGGCAGGGAGCCATGAACATGAACTTTTTATATATAATTTCCAATAGCGGAATAGAGCAGCCTTTCATTTAACGGTCTCGGGCTTCCATGCGGCTGTTTTCCACCAGCGACCTTCTACAGTTTTATACCGGTTTTGGAATTTGGAGTTTTCTCTCGGTCGGGCAGGAGCTTGCTTTGTGTCATGACTGGATCGTTGAGGGTGCCCTGCTGTCGTTTGGGCATGATGGGTGGACGGAGCCCCGGTGCGTCACTGACCCCCAGGAGTCCCAGTTTCCGTCCGGGGACTCAGCTGGATACCTCCCTCCGTCACCGGCCGTCAGCACCTGCCAACTCCCTCTCCTCACCTCCCCCTGTTCACAGGCAGAAACCATCACAAGGTAAGACAAATTAAACGTATTACTCTGGTTGCTTTTTCTATCAATTTACAATGATCAACCTTTAGAATAATACAGTTGTGTTCAAGTATTGCTACTTATTGTTTTCTGGTTAAATATCCAGCGGTTGGAGGACATGGTTACATTTTATTTTTATTTTATTATGATTTAAATTGCGGATGCTTAAGATCTGATGAAGCGGAAATTAGTTAACACAAGTGCTGCTTTATCTTCCTGTTGGCTTTTGCATGCTTTAACGTATTTGTTTGTTGTTGGATTTGAATGTGGATGGACTTTTTGATGCAAAAATCATTAGGCAGATGCCATCTAAAAGAGGTGCTCTTTAACGCCCTCCTGTGGACACACTGGGGTTGCTTTGGTTGCAGCTTAGTCCGTTTTTGCTGCAAATGTCCTGCAGTGCAGGCTGGAGAGACAAGTCTAACTTGTGTGTTTAAATGCACCATGCTTTACTGTGTTATTAGTCACACAGGTGCATGCTGGATGATGCACATTGAATTGATAAACAGGCACATTTTCAGTGACATAAATAGGATTATTTTATCGCGTAAATGACCTTAAATAAACATACAGAGGCTTCCCTCCAATCGAATTCAGACAAGTTAAACATTTCTGTTGGATATAAATGATTTGCACTCTGTAATTGCACATAAACATGGTTAATGGTGTTTCTTTGCATGCATTTAGCGAGCCCAATGTAGAATATTGAGACACTGCAGTGATTTGTTTCTTGCGATAAATTACTAGTCGATCAACTTCTGAAGATTTAAATTCAAAGCATGGACAGATTATTGCAAGATATTAATCCTGCAAAAGGGAATGTATAGTTACTTTAATCATATATGGTGTGCATTGTCCATATCCGAAATCTGCATATTACAATTGTTCTGTCTATTTTCTGCACAAAACCAATCTAGCTTTGCTTTGACTGCTGTTGCTTTCAATATCCAGTAGTTTCTTTCTCCAGTATCTTTGAGGATCGCTTTGCTGTTCGTATTCTATAAAATATATATTTTTCTATCTAAATAATTAGCCTGAATGTGAGTACAGTGCGTTCAAGACGTTTTACAGCCGTGCGTATTGACGTTTAGGCATAAAGTGAAATTAAAATATTCTCAGTAAGTATTGAATTGCTATACTCTAAGACGCTGGTGTGTATGTGTGCAAAGATGCCTGCAGAGTGCACTGCCCTCCTGTTTTCTGCAGCTTTGGCCCCCTCGCTCCCAGCCCAACATGTTTGACACCAGTGCGCACTCACTTCTTTCATCTCCTTTCTTTTTGCTCCTTATTTAGTTCCTGGGTGTGTCCCTGGCTTGACTCAGGGAAATAATGTTCGTGGGAACTTTGTTGCCATTGGCCAGCCATAAATCAGCTGTTGGAGCATGACTGTTTAGCCAACACACACCCCGTAGGTCTTCTCTCAGTGTGGGCCAACTGGATTGTGTGAGCCCGGTGTTCACCCTTCCTCACACCGTGCCTTCTGGGGGCTTGTGACCGCAAAGGGAGCACATACCTGCAGCAGAATAAATAATCTCTGGTTCACTATGTTTGTCAGAAACACATGATGGGGCTTGTGCTGAGTAAAGGGGCTGCTGTTGGGAAATAGCATGTTGAAGAAAGCAAAGGACAAGCCGCTGTCTTCAAGAGACAAAAGTGCCATAAAAATTCCACAAAGAGAAAACCAAACGGACGAGGCGTCATGCCACCATTTAGGCGTCGTGTCTGTTTGCGGGTCTTCTGATTTTGTTCTCCTGCTCAGGGTGAACATTGGTAATAGTAGATTATTTATATTGTGTGCATTGACCAGGGTACATTTAGAGCTAGACATACTTAGTTATTTCTAACGTATAGGCAACGTTTTCCCTGAAAGTTTGAATTATGTTTTGATAACCATCTCATGCTTCTGCTGTATTGTAATCGACCGATGAGACAATTGCTTTAAAACGTTTATGGCAATATCACAAAAAATGGTATATCATAAAAAGATTTAACGCATTAAAAGGAACATCAAATACTACGATGATACCTTTTTGTGATGTAACGTTCAGCCATCCGAATTGATGCATTATGGCACAACGCAAATATCGAAACTATTAATTATCATCTGAATAAGGCGGGAAATAATTTTACATTAAACATTTTGGCCCCATTTCATCCATTCATCGTTTCGAATATTTCCTTTTTCAATAACTTCAAATTGCGTCTCTTGTTTTTATAAATTTCACGGTGACTGCACACAACTCGACACCAAGCTGCCCATAGCACCCATATTGGGTTTTGTTCTCGATCTGTTGATATATCCAAAGCATAAAAGCACACAAAAAAACAATTGAAAAGATGTTGAGTGTTTACAATTCAATATAATGAGGTTTTGCTTTTATACGAAAGCGTAATAAAACCCAGTAGCACGCAACAACTTATTATATCATTGGAGAGCTTGTTGGAAATAGCCAAAAATAGACAGTATCGTGGCTTTACGCGCGTTCATAGCCTATACTTAAATGTATTCATTCTTCAACGTGGCATAAAGTACAGGCCTCGAATGGAAGTTTATGTGTTAATATTCGATAATGTGATGTTTAGCTTTTATCCTACCCGAAATATGTATTCACATTTTCCCACATTAGTCGCTCTTCAGTTGTTTTATGATTATAAAAAAAAGTGTAGAGAAAAAACACAGCCCTGTTTTGAATGGGCTTTTATTCTATTAACTGCGCACACTATTTGCACTCATCGCCTCATCATAACATGAATAACAGATTCTGATCGAATTATTTCTGTACACTGTCCTCGCAGAGATTGCACGCTCAGCATGTCACTTGTTGTATTGTTTAGGAGCCCGTTGGTTTTTGCCGCAATGGTCGTTAACCTCCGAATGACCCCGTGTGGAGCCCACGCCTCACAGAGCTCCGCAGACAGGCAGTGCGCCAGTTTGGCCAGAGGATGGCGCACCACGACAATTCAAAACACCCAAACCGTAGCTCAGAGTTGGCCCTAGCCACGAGCGCATGGGGGCGCGCTCCCTTCTCATCCCACCCAGTATTTCCTCCGTGCACGAGTTTACCTCTGGAGGTCACCAAGCAGGATTTACGACTGGTCAACAAAAGCACGTGATACTATGCCGTACCCCATATTTGGGTGCCTACGTAAGAGAGAATCAAGTCCATGTCCCACTCATTTCCATAATTCATCATAAATTGTGCAAGGGTGCTATAGGACGCGCTAAACCATAAGAGCCACAAATCAAGCACACAGGTTTAGTATTTTACCTTTGAATTTTATAAAAACAACAACAATACTTACTACGAGCGAACGGAGGAATTGTCAACAAATGAGCTCCTATTTTGTGAACTCATTCTGCGGTCGGTATCCCAATGGCGCGGACTTCCAGTTACATAATTATGGAGACCATAATACGGAAAACGAGCAATACAGAGACTCAACAGCCATGCACTCGAACAGGTATGGCTATGGCTACAACGGGATGGACCTAACAGTTGGTCGGACCGGTACCGGACACTTTGTGGGCGACGAGCAGACACCAGGCTACTCCCCGAGTCACTCAGCGGCGACAACACCCTCGGTGGAGCCGGTCAGGTACAACCAGTCTGCCAGCAACAACAGGACACCGTCTCTCTCGCCACCACCTGAGCCACTACCGTGCTCCTCGGTCGCCACCTCTTCCCCTGTCCACGAAACTCAATCTCAACACCGAGCCGTGAAAAACTCTATAAACACCCCGTGCTCGAGCTCTAACGGAGGCTCGCTGCTGCTCAGCCGGGACTGTGTGTCCAAATCTTCCCCCCTCGAGGAAGAGAAACCTACGGGAAGCGCACCAACAACTCCTCAAAATGTCACCGACTCATCACAGCCACAAATATACCCGTGGATGAGAAAACTTCATATAAATCATGGTAAAGTGATTTTCTTTTAGTAATGTTGTATTGATTTTATAGATCTGTTGCTGTGTTATTGTTGGGTTAAGGTGTAATTGTGTTTATATTATTGAGACGTTTTAAATGTTATCAAAACAGGACAGATTTGGATTATTTTAGTAGAAAATATGTTTACTATACAAAGGGGCATGTGGCGCCATGCGCATCTCACCTGTTTGGTGTATTTCTGCTTTTCAGTAGCCTACTGTTACCATAGACTAGGTACGCAATCATTTCATGAGATAAAATATAACTTTAAAGTCAGTTCAAATGTTTTCGATATAACCTGCACGTTGAGAATGTGTTGTAATGAAATATACTGTATTTATTTTAAGGTCAAATACCCAAAGTTGACCATGTGAATTACTTTTCGTAAGGTGCAGTTGAAAATGTGTAAATCTTACTAACGCTACTGGTTGTTTCTGCAATAACTAAGGGATCTACTTAGTCGTGTTCCAACTTTAAAACCACAAACTAAAACATGCAACGTTTAAAAAAAATGCAAGAATCGTAATAAAACAAAGTTGCTGCACTATTTGTTTTTACATTTACTGTATCTGATGTGTTTCCCACTCTCTTTATGTAAAAAGATTTGTCAGGACCAGAGGGTAAGAGAGCCAGGACTGCATACACCCGGTACCAGACCCTGGAGCTGGAGAAGGAGTTCCACTTCAACCGGTACCTGACCCGCAGGCGGAGGATCGAGATAGCCCATGCCCTCTGCCTCTCAGAGAGACAGATCAAAATCTGGTTTCAGAACCGCAGGATGAAGTGGAAGAAAGACAACAAGCTGAAGAGCATGAACATGGCGTCTGCAGGCGGGGGAGGCTACAGGCCTTGATATTCACTCCTCTACCCCTGATAACGAGCACTATAAAAAAAATAAAACAAAGATTGTCATATCAAATTCTCCTCCTAATTCAAAAAGCGCAGAGACTTGTGAACGGGCCGTGTGCGGGACAAGGGACACCCCACCTGAGCCCATTGTATGTCCAGCAACTGTCCCATTATATTCCTTAATATTATTTACTCTTTATTTCCACCGTGGTAATGCTTATGTAAGGAAAAAAATACATTATGTACAGTTATGTCTAGATTTAGAAGAAAAAGAAAGAAAATAAATGTTTGTTTAAATTATTTCCTGTTCAGACAAAGAAAAAAAAGAAAAACGCTTGAAATGCTACCTATTCACCGCAAATAAATCCAGTAAAAGTTGTGTGATAAGAACAATACCAGCCTAATAAAAAGAGGGTTGAGGTTGAGCTGTTTAGCCTTCGTTTTCTATATATGTACTGTATATGTATGTATTTATTTGTGTGATGTATTGTATCAATTTGTCAGATAACTTGCTTCCAAAAGTAGAACCAGCAGAGCGTGAGCCTTGTGTGGTCATTGTGTGCATTGTAAACACATGTATGGACAGAGGTGCAGACTCAGTCTTGTATGTACAGTATAGCTGTGCCTTGCATCTTTATTTTGTATAATTTTTTTGCTGCTGTTTGCGTTGTTCACCTGGACGCAACATCTGAGTAAAACGTGTTTTATCTTTGTTTTCTCATAGCTGTTTTTATGTGGAGGTTCCCCACAGTAAATCTCATTGCCTATGTGTATAACTCCATCGTGTTTAGCTTTTTGTAAATGTTTTTCAAAGACTGGAAGTCAAGAATATACTATAATAATAATAATAATAATAATAATAATAATAGTAATAATAATGATGATGATGATGATGATGGCCATAATAAACTTTCTACTGGAACGGCAACATTATATTGAGTGAACTTTTTTGTGAAATCCAGATTCGTTTACGCATTTGCCACGAATGCGTAAAAGAAGCGAGGAGTCAGACCTTGCTGTTTGGTCTAAAATCTTTAAGTGAGCTGTCAGAAAATTGTCAAATCAAATCCTTGAATTCAACAGGTCCCCCTCGAATGAAAACTTCATATTTCACTCACCTTGCTCTGGAGATGGGGGTGTTTTGGGGTCCTTGGCCACTAACCGGCTGCATGGCCGGGCGTCCCCTTTGCGCACAGACTCATGGGCTATTCCCGGAGAATCAGCTCGACTTTTTCTGCTGTAAACTTTATTAGGGCCGATTCTGGCTCTCTGACATTTGGGTGCTAAATGAATGGGGGGTTTTGTCTATGAATTAGATCGTAAAAATCATCCAGAGCGCGGCCAGATAGGCTCACTGGCCATAAACGGTCACGTGGTGGCCATTAAAGTAAGTTTTATGGTTTTGGGGAGTTGACAGTATATTGCACATAACATATAATCGCACTGACGGCGAAGCTTAGTCTGACTCTCTCTTTGCAGGCTGTAAGTGTTACTTGACCGGTACAGACCGTGTCTATTGCTCTGTGTTGCTCAGAATGGACCGGACGCTCTCCAGGATGAGGACCGCGTCTCTGGGTAAGTTTCTGCAGACTATCCGGTAGCCAGAGAACAGCCCGCCTGTGTTAAACAGCCTTATTATTGTATTTGCTCCCTCTATCTGTCCCTATTAGTCCATTACACTAATTCGTCAGTCGTGCAGTGCTGAATCCTGGTCTCGGCAGATGTTGCGCAGGGTTGGGTCCGGCTCATGGCTATTTAATTGCTTCGTTCCCCGTGTAACTTGTTTCCCTCCATCTGTGGTGTAACTCATAATCCATTTTTACATGTTGGATAATTATCTCAGTGTCCATTTCCACCCCCACAAACTTCTAGTTGTTGTCGTTTTATTACATTGGAGGATTCACAGACCGTGAACCAGAAAGTTGAAAAGGGAAGTGTGTGTGGAGGTTTCCGTGATAAAGTTAGGCGTTAATGCTGGCCTACAGATTTACTGCTAGCTCCGTTTGATTGGATTCTATATCTGCTTATGACTTTTTGGAAGTTGTAGGTCCATCCATGGAAAAAAGTTGCAGTAGTTGTTGTGCTGAGCTCTGCGCTCCACATGTTGGCTCAGTGTATGGCTTTAGGAAAGGCTGTAAACAGTGTCAAGTAAACACAACATGGGAACAAACATTTGAAAAGGAATTCCGTTTTGTGTCAGCCTCGTTGTTTTGTGTTTGGGGTTGAAAAGTTCAAATTACCTCTTAAAAGTCACTCTCGCTTTGTAGTGACCTCTTGTCCGATCAGTGCCGGGGCCATACCAGCCACCAGCCGGACCCTGATGCCAAAAGACCATGGACTAAAATGGGGGAAAAATATATAATTTTTGACTTTTTTTTAACTCATTTTCATTTTTAGTTTTAGATTCCTGCATATTTTTTAAACTAAAAGGTGTGTGAATCGGTGTGGCCGTTTCTAATTCGAAACTTCGAGGCCAAATATGAAATCCTATATACATTTTGGTGGATTTACCTTTTTGTGCCTATAGTTTTTGGAACCAAAATCACTTGTGACTACATTTCTCTGAGTTAGTGACTGGGCGGCCAGCCATCATAACTTTAACACTACGTTTTCTTTGTGTTTGCCTGCATCATTATGTCTAGAACCATTGCATTTTTGTGAAAAAATATTCTTTATTACTTAAAATTAGTTTTTGTACTTCCACCAATTCGGTAGTAGAATGTATTATCTGGCAACATTGTGGGGGAAAAACCTGGAAATGCAAGGTGGATTTCTCCCAAAATCTATTACATTTTTTCCTCGTTTCTTTTTTTATCAAACTGAAAGCAGTAGGATGTGGGTGTGCACTGATTATTTAATTAACACCTTACAAATCTGCAGCAATCGCTCGGTTTATACTCATTGTTATGCATATGAGTCCATCCTAAGAAGATGCTGCATCTTTCTAGTTCGATTTTAGACACACTGAAAATAAGACACTTTGAGAGTGCGGCTGTTTGGAAAATAAACCCATTGCCAATATTTCATGAGGAGACATTTCGACAGGGCCCCATGTGCGGCATACTGCCAGGCAGAGAGAGAGAAGCGTTGCAGGTTCATCTGGAGGTCAGCCACAGCACCAAGATAAATCTGCATCCTCTCAGAGCCACCAGCAGAGCTCGCTTTAGGCCAAGTTCACTGTCACCCTGCAGTATGGAGAGAGGGAAACTACTCACGCATCCACCGTACCGAGCGCACACACGCCTTCACGTTAATGACAAGTTTGCTTGGCGTTGTCTATAAGCATAATGCGTTCAAATGAATTTACCAAGGGACACAGAGCCTGTGGTAACATCCTGCACTGGAGGAGAAACTGGAGAGAGGGGAGTTTAACTTTACGTGTTGCCTCCAACAAAGAATGTTGGCTGCTTTTATTTTCTCTATAAGCTAATGGATGATTTGCATATTTTACAGCCCTATTAGTCTTGAGTGGGAGCCTATTGGATTTATCTTTTCACTCCCTCGTTGGAAACATCATAAAGCTACAATCGCATTTTAGGTATTGTGCTGGCATCTCCTCTAATTATGAAAATTGTGAAAATGATCATCGTGATGGCAAGCGATATACACATTGTTCAAATACATTTTTCGTTGAGAGGGGCAGATATCTCACTGGGCTGGGACAGATGAGAGCGAGATAGCTGCAGAAGAGGAGGAAAAATTGGGGTCAAAAGTTTACGCGCTGAACAAGTCTCCGTCATCTGTTCACTCGGAGCTTGATGCCAGCCTTATAATAGCGATCTTGACTCTCCACACAAAAGACAGAATAGCTTTGAATTACATATGTTGCACAGTGCACTCCAGGTGAACCCTGAAAGCGCGGTGACCTCGCGTTTGGGACCGGGGGAGGGGACCCCCCACCCGTCCCCAGCAACAAGATTGAGTGGCTGGCGTTTTATTAGGGCGGTTGATTGGTGAATTTCCTTTGAATAAATTGCATTTGATATGTTTAGGGACGAGGGCAACATTTGCATTTTGAGGATTGATACTCTCGACCCGGTCACAGGGTAATGGGAAGACCCACAGCCCCCAAATTGAGCCCCCGGACCCCTTAAAAAACATTTAGCCCCTCTCTTCCTGATCCTCTGAATAGAAGCCTTTTAAGAAAACTGAAATGGCACAGATGTTTCTTGTGACTCGTAGAGGGAAAATACAAAAAAAACTAAACACATTTTTTGTTAATAAATAGGCTTTACGCTATATACGTAATTTGTTTTGCTGGGCCTTTTTAACCGCATGGGGAATGAATGCAATTTCTTATAACTAAAATGTTTAACCTTTAGATGTTTGTAGGGAGACCCCATTAAAAATAAATGTGAACAAATATAGATTACAACTAAACCTAATTTACACCAGAAACTAAATACTTCAGTTAACATTATGCTTAAACAGTCCAAAACTGGGTCTCGGCAAAATCGCATGAATTCTTGAACGCAACTCACACAATATTATAACAACTTGTTTAAAAAATAATCCAACCAAAACTGAACACTTTTTAAATCTTGGATCCTTTTTATAGAAAGGCCCAATCATTTCGGACTTTTTCTGACATAAACTTTTTAACTGTCATCTGAGCATCAAATAAAACAAAGTTATATTTAGACAATCTTATTTCATTTTCATTTAGCACATTTGTAGACACGTCACACGCGGACACAACATATATTGCACTTTGAAAAGTGTTAAAATGCAAAAATGTGTAAATGAAATTCTCAAAATCGAGTCATTTGTAATTCATAACTTTGTTTATTGAATTTAAAAGTAAAAGCTTGTCAATGAAGAATGAAAGCGACCAGATAAACGGCTATCTTCACTAAATACTTTCCAAATGAATCCACATTTTTTAACAGAAAGCACAATTTCATATGTCTTCAATTATTTTAATTCAAACGTTGGCAGTCTTATTGTTAACTAACTCCAAAGTGCACATATTAATGTATTGAACCTTTCAGTTTATGTACCTCTCTACCATTTTGGAAACATTAGTTGTGTCGTCCATCTCTGAAATATACTGGCACAGTACTATCAGTTGAAACGCCCTCTTTATTTGATAAGAATAAAGAAGTTGTCTATGCACTTTCTAAAGGAAGAAGCAGCTTGTCTTTGCCTTTATTAACGATCATTGGAGGCCTGAAGGTCACTGTTATTAGTCTAATCAAAGTTTGAAGCTGTATATAAAAGCTAGTGCCCATCCTGAGTTATTGTGAAAGCTCGTTCCGTTGCCAGTCCTTGCTGTGAAGTGGTTTAAAAGGACAATCACAAGTGGTGCACTGTATAAAAGAAAACATTTTTATTATGAGCGTTTACCTGTATCAAAATATGTCCATAAAGCTGTGAAAGGTATTTTCTGGCCCGAATCATTGCCACATCTTGGATGCAAAGAAGATTTTTTATCCCACCGTCAGGGCTCCGTATAGACAGGAGACCTTGTGAGCACCATCTGCAATCTGTCACTATCGTCTCAGCACTTCTCTGATAATCTAAATTTACAGTAAACTGTCAGCATGATGTATATTGCTTAAATAGACCTTCACCTCACAGTATATGCTCTGAAAGGGAACACCGTGATCTGGCTGTTAGATTATTATAACCTTAAATAAAATCCATAACGCACAGCTCTAACGGGTTTTATTCACATTAAGAGTAAAATGGATTATTAAATTTAGTGGAAAATTGCTTAGATAGTGTAAGCTAGTTTGCCATTGCTTCCTTTTGCTCCAATGGTCAATTGGAGGATTATGATCCTATTATATTTTGTGCATAGTTCGAGTGATTTCCAGATGCTTTATTATATTGAAACACACAGCAGCAGCTTGCAGGCCTGGACTAGATAACGGAGGTATTACCTGCAGTCTTATCTAAAATGCTTCTTTTGAATGGCTGAGCCGGATTTTTGAATCACAATAATATGTTTTAATAAAGTTATTCACAGGTTAAGCATTAAAGAAAAAAAAGTAGTCCATATAGCAACAAGTAGCTACAATGACCTGTAAAATCAGAGTGGATAATAGCCTAGCTGATCTGGCCCATATTTATTCAGGACCTATATATAATAGAATGGCAGCAGACTGTAAATTTAGATATGATGTGAAGTAGTCTTACCGCTGACATTATGTTGACATATTGCCTCTCAGGTGGTCTCTCGGCCATACGGATACAGTGGATGTATGGCGGAAAGTACATCAGCTGCCATTTACAATGAGTTAGGTGTGAGAAAGCCTGTAAGATACACGAGATAGGAGCAGCTTTGCCTTGCAGCAACAGTGTGCTAACATGAGAGAAAAGCCATTTTTGAGGAGGATAAACTGAGGCATGTCTCTCGTTGCTGTGGGAAAGTCAATAATTCACCTGTTTTTAAATCTTCTGCGTCCAAAATCTAGAGATTCAGTGATGGAGATCAGCAATGCAAAGAAAAAATCTGCTGTATTTTATTCTAAATATATCAGCCCATTTGCAGCAGATCTGTAGTTGGAAGACCCCTATTCCACCTTGTCTAACTCGTACGACGTGTGATTTTCGGGATAGTTTGAGGTCTTTTGCACATGTTTTAAAATCCTTTAGGGACCTTTCCAGGTGCTGACCTGCGCTAAGTACTCCCCCAACTCCAGAGCTGAACAGACCATGCAAAACTGAAGTCCAAGTCCGGGGTGAACCTCAGGTCACTGCGTCTAACAGATATGAAAATGTCGCCTCTTTGGAAAGGGGGCACGCCTTGTTGTTTAACAAAGACTGTCAATGGGAAAGATTAATCAGAAACAAAATGGAAACGGTGTCACTTTGGGGTCAGGCAGAAGTTATCTCTGTTTAGAGGAGCGAATAGAATAGGGGGGACCAGGGAAAAAAGAAAAAAAGGAGAGAAAAGAAAGCTTTCAATATTTCCGAAGTTTGGCCTCTTGTTTCTCCATGCAGAGGCCTTGTTGACGTGGACAGTGTGGATCAGCTTTGTGAAGAGCTGCTGCATCTTCCTGGGACACATATACAGTGAGGCCCCTCGGACATGGAGAAGAAACAGGACCTGGACGTGATGGCCGATGGCGAGGAGCACGGTCAGAAACTTTTATATTCTCTACCTTAAAAAATGTGCAGTTGACTTTTTTTTTTAAATTATTTTAAAATTATTCTAAAATCTATGTGAGTCTTTCCTCAAATAATTATATTAAATGTTATTATTATTTCATTTTCTTAATGAACCTGAATGTTTGCCCTTTTTAACTTTTAGTACCCACTATCTAACACATCGTAGGCTAATATCAGTATCTTTGCCTGGCTGTTTGCATTAAAGTGGTGCAGCGGCACGCGTAGGAGAGACCTATCAAGATATTGCATATTTGTATTGAAATAGTGGAAAATTGTTTCTGGAAAACTTTTTATATATTTCACAATTCAAACAGATTTGTTAAATTGTATTGGGTGTGAGATTGTCTGTGCTGGACAGAGAATTGTGGCATGTCTTAAAAAATAAAATGTCTGAGCTGTTTCACAATCCCACGCCTTGGTTTGGCGTGTGGCCATAATGAAAGATCCACTTGCAAGTGTTTGTTCAGTGTTTGGATTTGCTTTTCAGTGGCAGGTAACGCATATAACTGGTAATACGTGATGGCCGTGCCAACAGAGCCTGATAACTTTCATGTGGTAAAATAAATACAAAGTCAAGCCTGACATCATTGCTATATCCTGGCAAATGTGCAGAAAACATCATTGCATTTGAAACGAAAAAAGGGGCCATATGCATGTATGCCGGTGTGTAAAGAGAGAGAAGAGTGTTTTGTGTGTGTGTGTTTGTCATAGGCGTGTATTCACAAGGATGCACAAGAGTTATGCTTTATATGCAGGCGTGTGTGTCCGCAGTGATAATGTCATTGCTTGCAGGAAGCTTGTGCACGGGTTTCTTTTTTGATCATTTAAATAAGCTGATATACAACAATATCGTTTGCACTGTTGTTTGGCATGCTGTCAGTGCCCCTGTTCAGCGACATTTTTGGGATTCAACACGTTTTAAACTCCAACAACAGACATTCACGTCACAGTGAGAAATATTCCTTTGTTTGTGATAACCTTTATTTTGTCAGGGCTTTCATTTCATATTCACTTTCTGTTTCAGATGAGGTGGAATTATTTTGCACAAGCAGGAATACCTCACCCACATAAGTTTGGCCTCATGCAGTAAACAAGTTAGTTGATTGGTTTTGCTTTATATACGGTGATTTAATAAGGAAAACATCAACGTAAGCCAGTCCGAGCAGTGTTGGTGGTACCAATGCCATGCTTTCCATTGGTTCCTGTTTACATGATGCCCACAGGACACGCCGTGATTGGTGGCGCTTCACACGTGACCAGGCAACTTTGTACATTTGACAGGGAGTAGGAGGGTTTTGTGGAGATCAGAAAAACGACAGCGCGATAAAAATTAGTATTGTTGCACTTCACAAATTAATGACCATGAGTTCCTACTTGATAAACTCCAACTATATCGAGCCTTCCTTTCCTCCATGCGACGAATATCAGCAGAGCGGATACATCCCCAACGCTGGTGATTACTACGAGCGGCCAAAAGATACGGGCTTCCCCCATCACGAAGAACCATCCTATCCGAGGTCAAACTACACAGAAACGGGATACGATTACGGTAACGTCCCTGCTACCGGACTCGATGATTTCGGGGATGGGCATCACGCACAGCCGCAGCCGGTTCCACAGAGCCACGGTCCTCGCCTCTCCGCGGCCCCAGACGGTGGCGCAGGGGAAAATGCCAGCAAAGACTGCAGCCTCGCCAGTGAGGCATATCCCGGCGTAGCGAAGGGCAAGGAGCCGGTGGTCTATCCGTGGATGAAAAAGGTCCACGTTAACAACGGTGAGTTATCGTCACGGTTTAATAGCAGAACCACTGAGAAACAACCACTGGGAAACAACCACTGGAACACACGCAAGCCTATTGAGGCAGCACTAGTAGCAGCCCTTACAACAGCAATTTACGACTATCGAGCAGCAGGGTCGGTAATTAAGGACCCTCGTAAATTTTATTGCCTGTGTTCGTCTGTCGGGGCCATGTGCCTTTGTTGCTTTTTAACCCAAAGTACCTCCACCACTGGAGCCGAGCCAAACTGTAATATCCAACCCCGCTGTTTTGTTAATCATTTCTAAGCTTGATATGTCCCTGGATGCGAGTGCTTGTACACTCGGCATCTCCACATTAAGGTCATGTCCGTAAACTGAAACAAGGCTTGAGAGTAAAACAAACAGAGCGGATGTGATTTCCCAACAAACCCAGAAATGTTTTATCGTTTTTCAACCATGTAATGTGTCCATTGGAGGAACTAGGGCTTTGGATTAAACGCTATCAGCCTGCGTTTAACACCTGCTTGCATGCCTGTGTATGGCTTTTTTCTCCTCCAGTCAATCCCAATTACACTGGAGGAGTGCCCAAGAGGTCCCGCACTGCCTACACCCGCCAGCAGGCTCTGGAGCTGGAGAAGGAGTTCCACTTCAACCGGTACCTGACCCGGCGCAGGCGGGTGGAGATTGCGCACACCATGTGTCTGTCCGAGCGCCAGGTCAAGATCTGGTTTCAGAACCGGAGGATGAAGTGGAAGAAGGAGCACAAGCTTCCCAACACGAAGATCCGCTCCTCCAGCTCGGCCTCGTCCTCAGCCTCGGGGCCCCAGCAGCAGCAGATCAAAACAGGCCAGCAGCTTGTCCCCACGCCGTGCACCGCAGGTCTATAGTGCTGAAATTAACCCCGTACCACAAAACCCAATCCAGACTGAGATGGCAAATATCACAAGTGGAATTTGATGGACCGATTCTCAGTATTTTACACACATGGTGTTATCTATTTCACCTTGCCTCTGCCATTGGGCCCCTGTCACGTCCTTTGTACCCTTTCCCTCTCCTGTCGTCCTCGCCCTCTTCATATAAGCTTGAAATTCACCTTTTATTGCCACGGTGGCAACTGAAGTGTTTCTATATTTGTTTATTATTATGAAAGAAGGATAACGCACATTCAAATGTAGGATCAAAATGTATCATTACAGTTAACATTCAGTGAGGTAAACAGTATTTTTTCTATGTTCTCTGAGTATTGTTTTTTTATTATTTTTTTATTATTGCTCATGGAAAGCTCTAATATACTTGAAATATATTTAGCGAGACTCTAGATGCCTGTTAGAAAACCAGACGGCTGATTTAGAGGTAAGGCATCAGTCAGAGTAACAGTGTTTGTGTGTGAGTGGGTTGGTTTACTGTTGAATGTAGTCCAGGTGACATTCACATGTAATGTACATAGGCAAATCATAATGAAGGCACAATAAGGAAAGCATTTCGTCAAGTAGAATTATGTTTGTTGGTGTTGTAAAGTCTAGGTTTATTTGTGCTAGTCCGTCCCATGTTGTGCTGTGTTCTAAACTGTGAATATTTGTATGTGTTGTCCCAGTATTGTGGTTGTGATGTAGGCTAGTGTAGGTTCAATGTGTCCTTGTGAAATAAATATGTACTTCACTTAATAACGTCGAATTGGCTTTGGATATTTTGTCACTGCAAATACTGATTTCAATTGAGAGCAACATGTACTTGCGAAGCCGCGCGTATTGACATGGCAAGAGCATTGGCGTGCCCCCTTTAAAAAGAAAAAAAGGAGATTGCATTTCCAAACTCATATATTTTGTGCTCATGCTATTTTTTCAATTCAATACGTGGTTGTGGACTTATTTTATTACTTGTATTTAAAGCCTTTAATCCGTTATCTGTGTTTGGAGATGTGTGCGTAAAATTGTGATTGCATGCCACCAAGCATTGGATAATTTACTGCCCCACGCTTGCATAATAATTTATATTTATATGTTTTACTTTCTCTGAATATAATCAAAATATATTTGCTATATTTGATGTTATTTGCAGAGAGTTTTAACTTGTTAATCAATGCAAACACTACGCAAATTCTGTTAAAGCAAGATTTACATAAAGGAAAACATTCAGGTGTTTTAATTAATGTAACATGTTTATGTTTAGGCAAGCGTCTCCCTATCTACCATAAATACTTTTTCGCTGACTGAATAATGTCATCATGCTCAACTGACTGTTCTAATCCGTAAAATGCGCAAGAATGTCATGCACATTTCATGGATAAAGCTGAGACGAGGTTTGAATTAAGGAGGCAGATTTCAGCTGCTTGAGCATTGCTGGCTTTTCTACTTTCACGGAAATCAAACCAACCTTACATTTTTAAATGTATCAGGCCTAACATATTGTTATCTCTTGCCATTATAAGGAGATCGAAGCCAACCTCGGTGCACCGGAGTGTGAGTGTTGGTCGCTACCTGCTTCATCCAAACAATAGGGAGTTCAACCAGGGGACACGGCAGGCTCTGGCCAATCACCGGCTCAGAGCACTTCTTCTGCCCCCTGACCTTTCGACACACACAATGTTCAGACCATACATCAGTGCTGAGACCTCCGCGAGCTTTTTCTTCCCATTTAAGATTTACCCAGAGACAGCGCGGAAACAAAAACGGTTTTAAGGTGTGAATCTGAGCCATGAATTGTCCCAAAGTTATTCTTTGAGACAGCTCTTCTGCAATATATCACCGAAACACTCCTGTCAGGGTGCAGATATGAGCTGAAACATGCTGGCATTTAGCATGCAATTTATTATGATTTCCAATATGTTGTGGCACTGATGGTTTCTGCTCAATATATATGCCAATAGCGTAATGAATGGAGTTGCATTGCATTTAATAGTAGATACAATTGATATTCACCAAAATTCCCACAGTAAAAGCCACATTTTCCGAGTTCAAACAATCTTTCAGTAGAAGCTTTATTTATTTGATATACCGTTTTTTTGCATCTTTTACATTTATTCACTTGTTTGGCACATTAGAGAAATAATCCTACGGCAATAATAAAAACGCTCTTAGAATATACCATGCTATTCATCTTTCTGTGAATCAGTTGCTGACATGAAGGCTGTACAGAACATGGCGTTGAGGCTGATTGGCACCGATTTTGCACAGACTCCAACAAGTCCAAAGTTAAATTACAAGATGTCAAGTCATTTGATTCGCGAATAGAGGTCACTTCCAATGTACTGAAATTTTAATTCGCCAGTTCACGTGACTTGTTGAATAATGAATGCCCCGGGGTCAGAAATAGATCTGAAAATCTACCTTATTTTCATTTGAAGAGATCCTCTGCAGGGTGCGAGTCAGATCTCTTCTCCCCTGACAGAACTCTGTCTGCGGGACACAGACCGTCATGACTTGTGAGTAGATTTGGTTGTTTTTCCTTCTTACATTTTTTGTAGATGTTAAACAAATATATATATATATATATATATATAAAATATAAAATATCCTAGAAGTGGGCGTGATTTAATTATCTTCTGTCGACTATTAATGTATACAATACAATCTTTTTTTATTTCCAACCTAACATTGTTGCACTTTCTGAGCTTTTCTAAACTGAGCTTTTTTAAGTTAAGCTTATTTAACTAAAACGGTCCTATTTTGATAAGTCTATTTGATTGAAAAGCATTTTCATTGACAGAAAACGTTATTTTGGACATCTCAGTAAATATTTAACAAGACGGCTGGTCTTAATTTCCCTAAATGTTCGAACCACGAGAAGTTAGCATGATACAATTCAACCCTCATTCTTTTTATTCTTCTTTTATATTTTTTTATTTATCGACAGCTCATTAACAGATGCACTTTGCCCAGAGTACAAACTCGTGTTTTTACATAAAGTATAGGTGAATCACAACAACCTTCATTTAGCAAATACTTGCTTTATGAGACTAAATAGACAAATAAGATATGTGCAAATATGTTTTAAAATAGGTTGATATGTGGATAAGTAATACTATCTTAAAACGTTTCTGAGTATTCAGTAATAAAATCACTTAAAGTTGACCTGCAAAATAACGATAAGAAGCAACACTCTGCATTTGTGCTTGCAAAGTTAACCTCGAAAACACTTTGCCTTCTAACATGGAACCATAGTTGTTGTTCATGGATTTTGACTGTGGCAAATTTTCTATTTGTTAATTGTATTATGACTTTCACAGTTGAATGTAATTTGAGTTAGTGTTTTTAAACAACAATATCAATGCAAATTACATCTGCTGCTTGAAAGAGCCTTTCAATGAGGATGAACACAATAGAGAATATAGACACAGGTCAAACATTAACAGAGTCCTTAGAGTGTGTTACAATGTCAACAATACAAATGTTTATTTTTATTTATGGGCTGTTTTGCACTTACCTCCAAATTGTTACTGGCAGCTGTTAAACAAAAGCATATTATACATAATTTTCAGTCATAAAAAAGAGCCAGTTAGTTCAACATGAAAATTGCTTTATTACAACCACCTTTACGCAAACAATTAAGTTGTCCTAGTCAGTCTGCCTTCATGAGCGATGTTTCCAAGTTTGCTTAAGGCGTTGAATTTCGCATTAGCCTTGATACTGGCCGATGTAAACCTCGCAGAAAGAGTTATCTTTGTCTGAGTGTATCCGTAACCCAAGCCTGGCTGTTAAGAGCTCCGAGTGTCAACATTGTGGGAAGATATGGACCGCCGTCTGGCCAACATCCAGAGGTCTGCGCCTCTAACTCCTCTTCGCTGACAGTGATCAGGAACCTTGATTTGTGTAAATAACTCTACATTTGTTTCATGCAAAACAAAGTTTAAACTTAAAAACATAATTGCTCAACTATTACTTTTGAGGAAAGGGCAAATGTGAAAAAAGTAGACTACCAGCTGAGGGCCTTTGGTTTCCATCGTCTCCTTGTTTGTGATCCCAAAATAAGTTCGCACTCGACTCTCTGCTTCTGCTCGGGTCAGGGAAAAGTTCAGGTGCGGTGGCGAAAGGCAACATGGGATTAACTTCCAGAGCACGGTCATGTCCAGCCATAAAATCATAGTGACAGCTCCACATCTGCAATTGTAGAAAAACAAAGAGAAAGTTAACACAACGCAGAGTCAAACAATGTTTAACAAAAGATAAATAGTCTTCTTTACATAAACATGAGTCTAAAACCTGTGCGTAAAACCCTTTTTTTTTGTCGTTATCATTAATATTCCTCCTCTTTTCATCAGTTTTAGAAGTGTTGAAGGTGAATTAATAAGAGCTGGTCTGCTTCCGTTCCTGTCTTTAAAAGTTTACCGCTCAAGTTGTAGTTTGAGAAGACAAAGGCTGGTGTGGGAGTGGGATGCTGTCTATGTCCGCCCCGAATGATTAATAGTTGTGGTGGGATTTTTCCACGCCTGCTGCTCTGTGTTGACGGAAAACAAGCGCCAAACGGTGCCGATAGAAGATCATTCTTCCGGGCTAGACTTTTGGCAAAATCTGGAGTGGCAAAAGTTAAATATCTACTATGCTGTTTTTATAGTGGTTTTGGCCAATAGCACAATTATGTCTTAGTTGGCATTTCTGCCACCGTAGCCCCAACCCCCCTTCAAAAGCTCAAATACTCTCCTGTTGCACAAACCTATAATTTCTAACATCACTCAGCTGGTCATAGGAAACGCATAAACGCACTTAGGTCGAATGGGGGTCCATGTAGTGATCAGCGGGGTCGAGCAGCCACTCTTTGGTTACCTCACCTCCACTTTCCGCTTACTGCTGAGTGACAGACACCTCCACGACCACCAGGGCGCACACCATCCTTATGTAGGACAGGTAAACGTGTGACATTTTTTACCTCATTTGGCAAACGGCATGCAGGCTTTTGCTGATGGAGAACCAAATGCTGATTAAGTGGTACTTCAACCGGACTGTGGACGGGGGGGGCGATATTGAGTAAAGCTCTCGGCAGTCCTGGCTGCTGTGTTGTAAAGAGAACAGAGTAGCCCTTTGCTGGAGTGATGAGTAATCATTATGCCATTCTTAAATGGTATTTTGTAAAGGAAAGCCCTCTCCATAAGATAGTGCGAATTATCACGCTGCAGTGCAAAACACTCTGGTTTGTAGCCTGGCTCCGAGCTGTGGCTGCACTTGAAACTCCGCACACAGGCAGGCAGGATTAGCTCTTTCAGCCACTAACAGGCACCAAATATATGGCACTTTAAAACTGACAGAACAGGCTTTGGCTCTGAATGGGCGACACGTGGAAAAGCTGCTTCTCTGCGAGAGACCTGCTCCTCTGCCAGATACATTGCAGTGTCACATACCCCTCTTTTTTCTCCCTCCAAACTGATCCGTTTCTCCTCAGGGGCAATGACTGCCTCCATTAATGATTCACGGGCTCAAATAAAAGGGATTTAAGTTGACGTTGCGTCACGTGAGCGGTGCGCATAATACTGCGAGATGTTATGGCACGGGGAAGAAAACCGGAGCCCCGGTTTGGCCATATGATGCTGATTATATGCGGGTTACCCCCACTTTCCGTGAGGGGAGTCCGGGTTCTGTAGTTTGTTTACCGAGGGGAGAAAAGGAGAAAGAGAGGCAGACAGAGAGAAAGAGGATCCCGGGTTTGTGGATGTATTATACTGCTGTCACGGACGGATATGTTTTTCCACGCGGACAGAGTCAGAGCCCGAGCTTTGGGAGGATGGATTTTATTTTGAGGTATTTCCGCCAATTGTTCATTACTGTCGTGAGTTATTGCTGCGCGAGGCAGAGGTCAGTAAAATAGGGGTCCAGGGTTTCTGCAGGGCGAGAAACTAGACAGGTACTAAGAAGCTATCGATATTCACCTATCTAGTGATATATCCGATTTATCATAGATAATCAAGCATAAATAGGCCTTTAAAATGTACACATGGCAATTATAGTATTAGTATTTATAGTAATTGTAACGATTTGTCTGGGCCAATGACATATACTATTGTTATGTTATGCTTCCTATGCTAATCACCATAATGCCAATATTATTTCCCCTGTACTCTTAGAATAGAGCAGTAAATAATGAAATATTTCTGCTCTATTTATATCTAGCATAAGCAGTCATTATGATAAATAGGCCTGTAGGCTACAACTGTTTGTAAATAAAGCAGCCGTATAATAAATAGAAAAACTCCAAACATAGAGCACGGCCAGACCAAGGTGCAACCGGTCCTATAAAACAAAACATCTCGTGTCTTTACGTGAGATTTTTGTGCGTAAATGATACATCAAGATGGGCTCCATAAAATGTAGAGGAAAGCGGTGGGGTTGTGTCGCTCCGCCGGGGAAACGAGGATATAATGGAAGACGGAGTGCCATCCAGGACCGCGCGGCCGCTGAGGTCACGGCGCTGCAGCTTGATTTATGGGCGCGGGGACTTGGGGAAGATGGTGCGCGAGAGCTAATGACTATTCGATCCGTTTGTGGAGAAAATGCTTACCGGCATGCAGGGAAACAACAAACACGTTATTTGCATTGGCCCCTTTGTATGTTATTAGTGATATTACCCTGATACAGGCAGCAATATTTGGTTGTATTGTTATATTTGTCTAAGGAGAATCGTTGCATTCTGGCTTTTATTTATGCAGTTTGTTTATCATTGTTGGATGGTTCTGTTGTTCTTAGATGGATATATTTCGGTTGATATTTTGTAGCAAAATGCTAAAAGGAATCTAGATTTTAATGGTTTCTCTAAACTGAACAGATAACACAAAGGCTTGGAGCCTTCCTAAATATAGCAGTGTGTAGCAATATAAATCATAAACCAAACAATTCTATTTAAAACACTTGCATCTAATTTAACTAGAGTTGGTTTGCACAAAACGTTTCATTTTGCGCATTTTTAGATTAAGGCCTATTGTGTTTTATACAATTAGACGAATTATTTATCATTTAATTCTCTAACAATATAGGGAGATGCTAGTCTAAAATAGCATTTACGCGTGTGTTTGTCGACATTAAAAGGTTTTATTTTCTTCTGAATTTTATTTATTTTTCATTGCAGAAATCCAGCCGAGTAAATTCAGGCCATCGCACGGTCTCCAAGACACTCCAAACTGCCTTCGGTAAGTCCATATATCTTTATTGATTTGTGTTATGAATGCTTGATGGTGATATCCTTATTCAATTTCTAATAAGTACCACACACGCCCACCAAAGCACTTGCAAGGATAGAGAAGCAGGGCTTGTACATTTCCTTGTAACAGCAATATGACCAGCCCGAAAGCAATAATTCCTTCTCTTCCACTTGTCTTTGTGGTGTAATTTGTCACTATAAAAGTGACGAGGGGAATCTCAGCCCTTGGAGCGGTGCCTTACTCCTTTCAAAAAGTACTTTCAGTGAAAGCCATCTGTTTGTAGCTGCTATAGTTAACTGCACTATAGTTTTAAAAAAATATTTTCTTTCATCAAATGTTCAGATTTGGTTTCTTTCTCCTAGATTTGTACGCACATTCTGCACGGCCGTATAGGACCACCAACTCGCTGACATTTCACCCTTAGCTCAGGGCTAAATTAAAGAGAGAGACGAATCAGCATTTTAGCAAAACACAAAGAAGTAAATAATTATACAATGTGACTCCTTTGGTTTCGAAAAGAAAAAGCCGAGTTGGCTAAAAAAAGAAACCTCACACGTGAATTTGTGTCCCACTCACCCTCCCACGCCGTCCGTGTGCTCTACCTTTTTAATTGTGTCATTGAATTTGTCCCAGAGCCTGAAACCAGCAGAGAAGCTGCAGTTATGAGCGTGTTTACAGCCTATGGCAGCTGAGAAGACATAAATCTATTTTTTTTCTCATTCTCTCTCTGGCTGCAAGAGTGAAGCATTACCATGCAGAGGGATTCCCCCTGCTGCCGGCTCTCTTCTCCCCTGCTCCTCGCTGCATGTCCTCCTCTCTGCCTTTTGGTGATCAACCTTCTTCCCATGTTTCACACCCTGCTCCTGGTGGGGTTTTTCTCTTGATCTACATAGAACACGGCTTTGATCTCAAGTTGTTGTGATTTCTAATGTTAAAATAATAGTGTGTCATACAAGAAGCCATGCCGGCAGCAGAATATCTGCCGTTGGAATGAAAACGAATTGCGCATCCCTTGTGCCAAAAGATTGAGGAGTTTATGTAAAAATGTGGGTTAATGATTAAGCCGCAGAAAGAAGCCCTTTATGTCCCGTGGAAATGGAAATGCAGCATGGTCAGAGGCCGATTATTCCTTTGTATTCTCCCTTCTCTCTTACATCTCATCCACTGGGCTCATAACCCTACTGCAGAGCGTGGAGTAAATAATAACTAAAACGATTTAAAACACTTAGGGGATAGATTCCTTGCTAGTTTGTAACGAGGCATAATTTTTTTCTAGACACACTACCTCATTTGGTTGGGGGAGGAGGAGAAGGAGCCACTTGATTTGAACTGGCTTTCCAAGGCTCTTCTTATTTGCATAATCTTTTTTGTCTATGGTGACGCTCTGGTTCGGGGCAGTTCAGTGGTGTCTGCATGGTACTGGTGAAGGATCACATAGTCTATAGCATTGCATTGGCTCAGTTAAATATCACTATGAAGCCCTGGCATTGCTCTATAGCATGACGATAAATTCAATCTTGAGGCCAGATAACTCTTATCTCGCTGACCCGACTGCTCACGCCTGCTTTCGTAATCTCGGTTTACCCATCCACGTCGAGTAGGAAAAAAAGGAAAGGAAAGGGGTTTCTCTCGGCTCTTCCCTTTTTTGTTGTGGCTGCTAATGCCTGGTGCATGGCAGGGAGCACTCTGCTGCTGCTGCCTCACCCAGCCAGCCCTGCCCTGCCCTTAAACTTTTTCTCTGGATTACTGCTTTGATCGATTTCGTCGCTGAATGAGAAAATATCGCTTGGTGCTCTGCATTCGTCGTCAGAGGATAAGGTAAGCAGGCCAGGAATAGGCTCCCTCGGTTGTAAATGGCGGAGTTTGTGTGTCGCTCGGTGATTTATCACCGTATGACTTAGATCTCAGTTCAGGAAGAGTTCACACACACGCAGTCAGGCAGCCAGATTTCTCTAACGCCGAGCAGAGGGCTGAGCAGAAAGCCTGTCATTTGTCTCTCTTTCTCTGTCTTTTATGACTATCGCAATGGCTTGCCTGGAGATATACACTACAAAGCCTTCTGATATCTTTTCCAGGTCATTGTGAGTGCAGATATAGCGAAGGCACCTTCTCTCACTCTGCGGTTAAGCTGCAGTGAAGGCAATCTTAGAGCTCATTTTAAACTGATTTGCTTTAAACGGTTGCATGAAACCTGAGTTGCTCCACATTTTCCTTTCATTTCCTTGTACTCGTTTTTTGAAAATGCCTTCTGTATGCTCCGGAACTACTATACACCTATTTGTCTTGAAATCACATTTTGTATTTCACAACTTCGTTGATGTTAAACTCGGATCCATTGATTCAAGCAATTAAAATGTGAAGTTATTGTTATTCCAAAATATATTCTTATTTTAATAAGTTTGTGTTTATTTCCAAAAATGAGCTGCTTCCTTTGTCGCTTCTTCTGCAATAGTTGCATCTACGCTGACAAAGAATAGCATGATTTCACATTCATAGTTATCAAACAGGATGGATTTATGTTTTATTTGCATTGAACATTATTTCCTTAACTTAAAAATAAAGTTAATTATCTTTCTAATTATATATTTAGTAGGCTACTGCATTTATTATTATTATTATTATTATTATTATTATTATTATTATTATTATTATTATTATTATTATTATTATTATTATTATTATAAGTAGGCCTATTATTATTATTATTATTATTATTATTATTATTATTATTATTATTATTATGCATTGCATACTATTTCTTGATGGCATTGGTTAAAACAACAGGAATCCACATTAAATGTTCCACTATTTCAATAATAATTCCACATTATAACAGATTTCCCCAAGCTGACCCTGTTACTGTGTCTATTATGGTTTATAGTTTCCCCAATAATCTTTAAGAGGGTGATCCCCATGGTTACCTGCGTGAATTATGGTGTTTTAGCAGCAGGCTAGCTGTGCCATGCCGGGATTCTGTCTCTCAGTACCGGGCTGGCTGCTCACCGGGCCGCTCATTCCGAGCAGGCCGTCCCGGCCCACTGACCCCCATATATCACGGCGAAGGGCCGCCGAGCAGACAGCACCGACAGCAGCCATTATTATGGGTCTGCAAGGAAAAGTTCACACCGTGGTCATAGAGATGCACGGATGCCCGCCCGGTTTTTCAGGTTTCCTCGTAGCCCTTTCATTTATCTTCCAGAATGCAAAGAAGTAAAACAAAAAAGAAAAGAGAAGGAAGAGAATGCGGTTGCTTTTGCTTTGCGTCAGGTGGCCGTGGAAGCACAGCGCATTGAGGTTTATCCTGTTACTGAAGAAAGATGTTTTGTTGTACTCAGTGAAAACAAAGAAGGGTTAAAAAGTTGTGGACCACACGGAATGCATTCACCTGCTACATGGGAAATTAGATATACTGTTGACAGCCCTGTTGGTAGAATAACAATATAACATAAATATTATTTTCCTGTGTGGTAACCCGCTAATTGGATTTCCCTACAGCACCCTTTTTATCCAGTATTTTGTCTAAAAGGTGTTGTGTTACTGCATTCATTATTATTATTATTATTGTTAATAGGCAAACAGGTTTAAAATGTATTGTATTTTCTGGTTAGGTCCTAAAATTGATTTGGCAATCTGAAAAGCGTTTGAACAGGTTTTTGTTTTGATGTGTTTTGGCACAGATGGTAATGCAAGGTTAGTGCGTGCCTTTGTGCCCTGTGTAAGCCATAAGGTAAACGGTAATAGTCTACAGGACTGTTGGCCCTATCTTGCTTCCATAGTCTCCAGTGTCAGGCCTGTATTGAAAAGTAAGATGGATCGCCACCATTTCTTCTCCTCACAGTGCTTCTTGTAACCCTAGGTTCACCCGAGGAGGCCATTGGCGGAGAGGCGTCACGTGACCACGGGGTGCCAATGTTATTCTACAAGGGTGTCAAGACCCTGTCAGTTTCTGAAATAAATATTGGGAAACGGCGAGATGCAAAAGGCAACCTACTACGACAGCTCCGCAATTTACAGTGGCTACCCATATCAAAGCGCAAATGGCTTCAGTTATGATGCCAATCAGGTCCAATATCCCCGGGCCTCTCATGTGGAAAGTGAGTACCATCGACCTGCCTGCTCCCTGCAGTCTCCTGACGGCTCCGTGGCTCTGCAGAAGCCGGGGGAGATGGCGGAGAGCTGCGACAGGACCACAGCCATTCAGGCGGCGCAGTCCAAGGTTCATCCCGAAAGCAATCAACCGCAGGTGCCAGTGTCAGGCCCGCCCCCTCCGTCAATATCCCCCGGTGCTGTCAGCCAAAACACAAGCAACGGGTCCAACCAGCCCAGTGCCAAGAACGGCTCCCCGACCTCTGCTACTCGCAAACATATCTTCCCCTGGATGAAGGAATCCCGTCAGAACATCAAGCAGAAACCCAACAGTAGCTCCAGTTCAGGTACTTTCAACCAAAACACTGCTGCTGCAAACACATAAATTGATAGCCTCTGACAAGAAAGTTGCATAAGTTTACTTGAGGGAGGACACAATGGGGGTGGGTATATAGGGGGCAGTCCAAAATAGGACAATTATGTAAGGATTAAAATGTTTTTTTCCCTATTCCAGGGGCAGAGAGGTGTTCATCTAGATTTTTCAAGTCAGATGTTTATTATATATATTATGTTTATATTGTGTTCCCACTGGGGGATCCTTGAGTTATTCAGGAAATGCAGCCAAAAAATGACCACAGAGTTTAATCAACTCCTTCCTGACACGATCCACATTAGAAGTGTTACTTTCATTATAACACATCCTGTATCAATCAATACCAAAAACATTATCAAATATAAGTTCACTGTAAGGTTAAAGACTGTATATGTGCTCTTACATTGGGAGAAGATTCCACCATGTGTTGTCCCTGTGCCCTGCAGCTGACCCGTCCCTACTGTAAACACAAATCTCCACTGATCACATAATGTTCCCAGAGAGACAACAAACAAACACGGACAACAGTTGTTTCAGTTTGTCCTGCTGTTTTGATTAGAGGGAAACTTGGTGGACCAGAGTGGGGGGTTTGGGTTTAACTGTTTTTATTTACAGAGCCAATCTTAAAATTCAGAGATGCTCATCCTCCCATGATTTTTTTTTTATGTTCTAGGGAATATTTTAATTAAGATAATATTTGACAGAACTTATTGGGTGCTTGATTTAGAATTGTACTAAGAAAAGACGTATGGATGAAAGGAAAACGGGGTGGGTAAGGTTGTGGGGTTTAGGAGTAATTTACATAAACATAACTTATGCTTATCTTACAATGAACTTCTTTATTGCACCATAAACGGGTACTTATTACGGTCAAAGTTTGAAATCCAAATCCAGGTTATCTGAATATGAATTTTCTTAAGGAAATATTTTTCATCAGTTTTTGATTATAGGTTGTCGTGCTGACATGGATGGAAACCGTTTTACGCACGTTTTACGCACGTTTTACACACTTATGCAGGCATCATCCTGCTGTTTAATTGCAGACAAACGTCATAGGTCAGAGTGGGGAGTTTGTGTTGTTTATAATATCAGACATGCTAATCTTTCTCATGACCTTTCTTGTTTGTAAATTAAGTTGTTAATCTTCTAACTACGTTATAGGAAGTCTAGTAAGAAGTAAATGATAAGCAGTATTGCAACAGTCGTAGTGATTTAAGTTGAGAAAGTGTTTTATATTAAGGGAAACACATTGTGCATGCCTTTATTGGGGTGTTTTACACATTCTTTACTGATTCACAGCCAAATCATGCTGTTTGATTAGATGAACACTTGTTGGGTCATGGTGTTTTTTTTGTTTTGTTCTATGTAATAACATCCCAAAATGGATAAATGCTTACCTTCCCTTGGCCCTCTCATATTGCCAAATGGGTTAATGTATTTGTAATATTTTGCTGTAAGAGTTATGAATGCAAATCAGTTAGCCGACCTTCATTGTGTGATTTATCTTTAAGAAGGGTTTTTCATTAATTTATACAACACATTGAGGTGCTAAAATTCGTGAAAATCATTTTACGCACGTTTTACGCACATGCGCCAGACAGAAAATGACAACCCTGCACTTAAAAAACATGTTTCCAAAATTAGTATTTTATAAATCAAGCTAATATCCTGAAAAAATGAATTCCTAAGAAGTAAAATAATAATCGTTAGTGTTGCCCTACATACATGGGTATCCCTATTCCTCGTGTTAAGTTATCTTTCATCTCCGTTATAATCTAATGGGTCAGGTTATGTCATGCTGCATTCCTTTTGCTCCACGTAGGCGACAGGTAGTGAAATTTATTAAGTGTTGGCTGCCTGCCACAGCGGCAAGTAGACCAACACCTTGCTATTCTGCAGCCAAGCTCCTGCTTCGAAGGGGAGGCTTATCAGTGAGGGCAGAGCGAGCAGCCCTATACACCCTGAGGAATACATAACGCTTGTGTTTGCATTACGCGTGGGACAACGGGGAAAGATGAGGGTCAAAATGTTTTAGTAGGAAATCTCAGGTTACCTGGTCCCATATCAAATATTGACCCACTATTCTTCAGTTACTTTTTTTTCTCTTTGCACTTGGTGCACAGACACAGTGCCCATACACTGATTGTTAATTGTCTTATGGAGCCCCCATGATAACCCTTGTGCTTTGCAGTATGACAGTGAATTTATCAAAATGGTGATATGTTTGGAACACGCGCACATGCACGCTCGCACATAAAGGGGTGGGAGGAGGTGGAGAAAGAAAAAGAGTAGATGATGAAACCCCTATTTAAGTAGTGAAGCAGGGCATATTTATCTGGTAAAACCCCCCTCGTTATGGTTGAAAGTTCTGTTATCAGCCGCGTGAGTGTTGTCAGATGGTTTTGCTTTCACTCTGTGTTCTTTCACTGCCTCTCTCTCTCCCTCTCTTTCTATCTGGCTCTCTCTCTATCTTATCTCTCTCCCCCCCTTCTTCTCTCTCTTTCTGTCGCTCTCTCTCTATCTGTCTGTAATGGATTACTGATTGACATCCTCCTCTCCTTCTCCCTGACAGTGGAGAGTTGCCCCGGAGACAAGAGTCCTCCGGGGTCAGCAGCATCGAAGAGGGCCCGGACAGCTTACACCAGCGCCCAGCTAGTGGAGCTGGAGAAGGAGTTCCACTTCAACCGGTACCTCTGCAGACCCAGGAGGGTGGAGATGGCGAACCTGCTCAACCTCACCGAGAGACAGATCAAAATCTGGTTCCAGAACCGCAGGATGAAATACAAGAAGGATCAGAAAGGCGTCGGAATGATGCCTTCCCCTGGCGGACAGTCCCCTCGGAGTCCCGTGGGCCCAGGCTCCGGGGTTGGCGGTGGTGGAGGATACCTCAACTCTATGCATTCTCTTGTAAACAGTGTACCTTACGAATCCCAGTCGCCGACGTCTTACAATAAACCTCATCAAAATGCATACGGTATGGCCACGTCATATCCCCCTCCTTTGAACAACTCCCTCAACAACTGCCCTCCCTCCCAGAAGCGGTATCCCGGGACCGACTCGGCCACGCCCGAGTATGACGCGCATCCTCTTCAAGGCAATGGCAACTACGGGAGTCACATGCAGGGCAGCCCCGTTTATGTCGGTGGAGGTTACATCGACTCAATGCCCAATTCTGGGACCTCCGTTTTCGGTCTGACCCATCTATCGCACCCGCCGTCCACAAACATGGACTACAATGGAGCAATCACAATGGGTAACAGTCAGCATCACGGAGTGTGTGATCCGACACCGACGTACACAGACCTAACAGCGCACTACTCTCAGGGAAGAATCCAGGAAGCGCCCAAACTGACGCATCTGTAGCGGTGGCGCAGCCCGGATCACTCCGCCCATTGTCTTATCCACCTCCAGACACATTACTGCTTTGTTTCTGCGCCTCCTCACGGCGTCCACCTTCTCTCTGCTTTTGTTTATGTTTTCTATAGTTTGATGTGTGAAGTATAGCGTAGGGTAAATAATCACGACTTGCTTGAATTTTTCTTCTATTTGCTCGTGTCATTGTCTCACAAAGACTGAGCTGTAGGACGTCTAGAGTGGGAGGGAGGGGGGCACAGTATAAGCATAGGACTATTTAATCTTTTTTTTAATATTGTTTTAAAATTGAAACGCAAACAGGGTATTATGAACATATGTTATTCATTTTTAATGTGAATTTGTTCGTCTTTTATTTATCCGCAGTTGAAGAATTGTGTTTTGCATTTTGTTGCACTTGTAAGGATCCTTCAAACGACACGAGTTGGGATTATGAGGGGAAAACATTTTCAAGAACAAGGGTCATGAGCTTACACGCAACCTCCCTTGCTTATGTTGCTCTATTGGACTGTATAATGTTATTTATTTGTGTTCGGTGTTACGATAAAAGAGTCCTTTAGTATTATTTGACACCTTTGCGATCTATGTGTGGTGACAAGGTTGGTGGAAAGTAAGCGTCTCAGCCCTTTTCCAGCCCATACATGTAGCGTGCAGGAACTCCACAGTAGCAGAAGCACCATGTTGCTGTTATAGGCTATGTTTTCTCTTTTTTTCTTCAAGGAGGTGTTTTTATTTTCTCAGTGAATGTAAAATCAATCAGTCATGCAATAAGGGTGGAAAGAAGGACACACATTAGCAATTTCTTTTGTTGAAGAAAAAAAAAACAGGCATCATTAATTTCCTTTTCGATGTTATACATTCCACGCTGCTCCCAGTTCGAAGAAATAAATAAAATAATTGAAATACAATTGCATAAAACTTGTAGTTTTAATTCAGACACATCATAAGCATTTATACAATTACACAACATTTCATTCAAGACAATTTCTCGATAAAACATTTCAAAAATACATTTCCCATTGTTCCTTTTATATATTTCATGACGTTTTATACTTGTATAGGTGATCACAAAAAGGGGGAAATAAATGGTTGCAAAATTGCCATTATAAAAGACAATAACAATAGCATAATAATCCATGGACGAACATTTGTAGATCTCTATATTTTGTATTATGCTTATAAAATAATGTGAAATCCGTGGCCATATTTAATATTCAAAAACAGAAAAGGAATTGGCCTCAGATTAAGTCAAATATTGAATAACATATACTCCCTTTTTTCTATCCCTTTATATTCGACGTGAAGAAAACTCTCGGTGGCCTTCTCCCCTCCTCTCATGCGCGTGGGCACATCCATAATAATAAAAATGTCACCCCGGCCCTTCTGGAGATTCTGCAAGAAGACAACAAGCTAAATGAGAAATCGTTTGAAAAATAATTTCCTGATGTGTTCAGTCACTCAAATTCGGTCAGAGAGGATACAGACTGAAGTAGAAATCGTAAGGGGGATTATTTGTCTCATAATATTACAGATTTACAGATGCCAGTGTCAAAGCCAGTTCAAAACGAAAAACCTCAGTGGTGTCGATACAAAGCACATTATCATGAAAAGCTGAAGCACGACAGTGATTTCATCTGTGTGCGTTTTTTGTTAAAATGAAGGGCCTGCATAAGAATTATTCTACATGTTTTAATTGTTTGCAGTAATTTCCTATAAAGACATGTAACACATTCACACATGGAGCTAAAATGCTTACATGGTTTTGTAATTCTTTTCATGACAAAAATGCACAGATATTTCTTCACATGTTTGTCTTATCAAATTACCAAAACCATTTTTGCACCATGGTATTTCTTTTTTTATATTTTGCCTTTGTGCAACTGCAGTATTATTTGTCCTCACTGATATTACATTTATAAATAATTGTCAGCCCAATCTGATTGATATGAGAGGGCATGAACATTACTAACCCTGACATATGGTTAGCAGGGACACCTAGAACAATTGAACCATGGTGTGTCTCAGTAAAAAAAAAAAAGCTGATGCACTATCTGCATCCAACACAGACACACTGCATACACGCGCACACGCACTCACAGCAAGCTACTGATATGACCCATATGTGCCATAAACAGGTAGCACATAAATAACGTTTTAACTTAAACAGAACATTTGTATTTCTTCTTATGCATATCCATCCGTGGGAAAGTGGTCCTAAATCAATCCTGATGTAAAGACCAGTGGACAGGATGGGGTCCACTAAATGCCGCCACCCACTCCTTTCCTTCACACAAAGCCTGTGCGTAATTCCAAAAAAGCCATCCATCTCTTCCCTAGCAACTCTGTCCTGCCCCTGGCCCTGGTCCGCTCAAAAACCTGCATGTCCTCTAGAACGACAAATGCACGTTTTTATGTGAATGCATTCACGATTTAAAGATAAAAGCCAGGTGGAGAAGCTGCTTCGCCATACTCACCGTTGGCGCATTACAGCCTCCTCAAAAAGGAAATGGTCACATCTTGTGTAGATGGATTCTTATGTATCTTCTAAAAGATCCCTCCAGCGACAGCCCGGCTACAACTGCGAGCAGAAACTGGTTCTAATCTGAGTGGCCAGTGTTTCTCGCCGCTTCCTGGCTGCATTTGATCCGGGGGAGAGTTAGAAGCCTTAAATGTGTTGTGAGGGCACCGAGCTGTCAGACCTTTTGGCGAGTAAGATTGATCGCGCGCAGGCTTCCAGGACTCTTTGTTTGGTATATAAGCAACAAACTGAGAGAGGCCTACCACTTCTCCTCTTCCTCTTTCTTACTCTCCAAACCATTTTTTGGAAATGAAAATACAACATGTACTGCTTGACGAAAAACATCCCAAATGTGGCTTTCTAGGATTCTGGAAGGGCTATAAAACCACACACTGCAGGGAAGTGCCATTCAATAAGAATATACCATTTACATAATAACGCTGCAAATGGTCGATTGTAAATGTAACGGTGTTTGCTTCATTGCATTTTCAGGTAGAATTGATTTCTGGAAATACAGAGGGATGGTTTCCTCGGCATTATATCTCTTGTCCTCCCAGTAAACTCTGCTATAGCCTTGTGGGTTTCTAATTTTAACAGTTACATGAAATTCTTCAAATTATTAACACAATATTTAAACAACAATGGCAGCTTTTGGTGATCGAAATATTAGAAAATTACCTATCATATTAGAAAAATGCTCCTTGTTTTTTTGGCCTCATGTCTGTGGGTTTGTGCACACACATGGACGGGGATGACCTCGTTTCAAAATCGAGCTTTATTGGAATAAACGAAAAACGTATGTGCTTTTATATCATATCCAAAGTGTCCATATTAAAGTGTATAGTAAAACAATGTTTATGGGTACACATACATAAAATATGTGCGTGTGTAATTTCGTACACATTTCTGGACCTGATCTGTAAATGTTAAACAGCTGTTATGTGTACAAAATGGTCTGTACATGTCATATCCGTCACTATTAACTCAATGGATGGGCTTTTTATTGCAACACATGTCAATGGATGCACTTCATATTTCATTATTATGCATCTTTGAAAAATCCCATCTATTCTGGAGTCCACACTCACTGTGCAGACTGGATTGTTGGGGTTGGTTTCTGTCGAAAAGTCTCAATATCAGTTTTTGGGGTATGTTTTTTACACATCTAAAGCCTGACTCTTGACTATTTGAATAGCTGGCGTGAAATGTGTGTGTGTCTGTGTGTGTGTGGTGTGGGGGCGTTCTAGACTGACATCCTCAAACAATACGAGAAAGAGGAGTGCACGAATCCGCGCACCCTAGGCTGGGCTCCTTCCGTGTAATAGTGAGCGTCAGCCATTCTTAAAAAACACATTTTGTGGCTTAGTGGACTGGACTGGAAGGGCGAGAGGAGGATAAACTGAGCGGACAAAGATGTAAATAAAAACAGTCGTCCCCCAGCTGAGCGAGGCGTTCTTCATCAGAGTTTTTGGATCAATCAGGCAGACAGTGGCTCCTTTTGATTAAACCCCAAATTGTCATTGGGCAGAGGTAATCATGTGACAGGCAATTCGGTCCAATTTCAACCTTGTCTCCATGAATTCAATAGTTTAATAGTAGCTCGGTCCCCATACGGCCGTAATCAGTGATATAGAAAAAACACCACCAGGAGATTTTTTTAAATGATTTTTTCTTTCTCGTCCTCATTGAGCCGCAACATTTATAAAAATACGCGTGCAAACTTTCCTCGGCTCTCAGGGAGCGGAGATGAATTACGAATTCGAGCGAGAGAGCGGTTTTATCAATAGTCAGCCGTCGCTTGCTGAGTGCCTGACATCTTTCCCCCCTGTCGCTGATTCATTTCAAAGTTCATCAATCAAGAGCTCGACGCTTTCACGCCCGACACTGATTCCTCCTCCCTTTGAGCAGACCATTCCCAGCCTGAATCCGGGCAGCCATCCGCGGCACGGCCGGCCCAGACACATCCCCGACGGATGCAGCTCGCTGCCCACAGCCTCTCTACCCCCGGAGTACCCCTGGATGCGGGAGAAGAAAGCCTCCAAGCGGAATCACCTGCCGACTTCCACCATCTCCAATGGACCTGTGTGTTTTTCCCCAAAAGGTGGGTATTTACAAACAGGGACCCTTCACTGCAAATGTGTTGACTAGACTATTTTTTGCTAAATAAGAGCTCAGGCCTTTCCTTAATATCAAACAGGCTACATCCGTTTTGTTCTGGTAGATTTATGGTTACTGCTTTGCTGTGATTGCGTTTGAAGACAGGAAAAAAAAAGTTTGGATAAAGTTTGGTGATGTAAGATGATTTATTCCCCTAGCCGTGGCAGAGTTTTGATGTGTGACAGTAATGAAGAGTGATGGAGTGCCGTTGCCGAGGAGGGCAGCTGGAGCATTCATTAGTATCCCACAGCAGCCTGGACCTCACTGCTTTTAGTGCACTGTGTTAGCTTCACACTCATGCTGGACATTATTGTTGTGTTTAAAACTGTCTGATTAGTATCTTTATGTTGTATTGATTTTGGGATAAAAAGGTTTACAGGCTTGGGTCAGTAGCTCCAGCGGCCATTTTGCTGCAGCATGTTGTGAGCCTCTCTCTGGTGGTTTGGGAAAGCCATAATGTTATATTCACGGGCAGCGGGGTTATGTAACTGTTGTGTCCTGCGTTTGTAATCCCATGCTACCGTAATGCTTATTTTCCAGACTCGCCAGAGATGGTGGAGAGCGGAGGGGGAGGAGGGGGCTCCCGGCGGCTGAGGACCGCGTACACCAACACACAGCTGCTGGAGCTGGAGAAGGAGTTCCACTTCAACAAGTATCTTTGCCGGCCGAGGAGAGTGGAAATAGCGGCCCTGCTGGACCTGACCGAGCGACAGGTCAAAGTCTGGTTCCAGAACCGGCGCATGAAGCACAAGCGACAGACCCAGAGCAAGGAGAACCACAACGGGGAGGCGAAAGGGCCGGGGGCCGAGGACGACCTCCACAGCGACGACGAGGAGGACGATGAGGGCCCCCTGTACGAGAGGAGCGGGGCCCTGTTGGAGAGAGATACCTGCTCCTTTCAGAATAACTCACTGAGCTCCATACAGCAGCTCCACAATGGCGAGTCCATGGGCTTTGCTGCTGCGCCGCTGAACAGCAATGACAAAAATCTGAAACATTTTCCCAACCCGTCACCCACTGTTCCGGGATGCATGTCAACAATGGGCCCAGGCTCGGCATCTGGCCCGGACAATGGCGATAGTCCCCCGGCCCTGGATGTTTCTATACACGACTTTCAACCTTTCTCCTCGGATTCCTGCCTACAGCTCTCCGATGCAGCTTCGCCGAGCTTGTCAGAGTCTCTGGACAGCTCCGTGGACATTTCTACAGACAGTTCTTTTTTTCTCGGAGTCCCTAACTACAATCGACCTGCAGCATCTGAACTATTAACTGAAATCAATCACACTAGCTTTCTTCCTTTCTCTCGGGACAATACATATCAGGCTGCGATGGTATTAACTCTGATGTTATTTGTATATTCGGCACATTTATTCTGTTGATATTTGACTTGACGATTAATACAAGGTAAGGATGAAATTAAATCACTGAAATGGCTCTACTCAAGACGTGACTTGTAATTACCATAACAAATTGATCTAATGGAATGGAAATTATGAGTGTATGTGAATAATTATACAATATTAGGCCTATGGATCCTGGTCATTTTATTTTTGTATAGCTTCCAATGTCTTGGATATTTTTGTTAGAATACAATTAACTTGCTACAATCCTTTCTCCTGGTGTTTTGAGTCGTTTTTTATATCTATTTCCAGACTGGGTATTTTAGCTAGAATTATTCATGTTGCAAATATGCAAAATCAAAGAAGTAGGGCAAATATAGAGACGTTATGCAAATGTCACAACAGGTTGGCAATGAATATAAATAGCCTAGTCCGGATTGAGTTCAGTAGTGAAGGCACACACAGGATTGGAATTTACTTGTAAAGTTTACATTTCAACAAAACGGAAATTGTTTTAAATATGACTAGTTTACTGAAATAATTTTTACAACATGTTTTTAAAGGCACAAAAACATATTTTATTAAAAACTTCAGAGATAAACTTATTTTTAAATGTAGTAAAATAACTTATATCTTATATAATATCTGCTAAATTGTAGTTTAGAAACGAACAATTAATGAGTTAAAAAGTGTAACTTGCTTTGCTGGAATTGTTTTTAGATGTTCTTAGATTTACACAGGTATCTTATTGGCACTGTTTCAAGCTTCCTACACCCTAATGCAGATTATTTTAATGTTCACCTTCACACTTCATACTTTGGAGAGTAAAAGCAAACACGTCTGCACGAATCCTAGCATGACAGGGCTCTTAACATTGTGTGCGTGTTGCAGCCGAATAGCCAGGCCATGTTTGCCTTCAGGAGCTCATAAATCACTCCGTGGCATGAATGAGACGGACATTAAGGAGACCAATTGTGGCGTAATGTGCACAAATAAAATTCCACTTACATTTTCATACGGACTCCCCAATTCGTGTGCTAAAAGGGGGCTGAGTCTCTGCATGCGTTTGGTAATAATTCATTTTTATAGCTTGTTTAAACACGGCCCTGGCTCGGGGACAGCGGCAGCGTGCAGTAGCAGGCTGCTCAGGGTGTGAGGCTGCACTTTTCCCCGAGTGTTAAAAGTAGCTCAAACTCAAAACAGACTACTTATGGATTAGAAGCAATTTATCAGACACAAATGTACTACGCATAGATTCAGAGAGAGGCTCATTATGCAATGTCTGGATAACTTTATCAAGAGAGTTTGTTTTGGGGGCTTTTGCAACATTGTTGGAGCAGTTATATTCGTTTAGGAAGTCTTGAAGTAATATAGGGATTATTAATGATTTTGCTCTATTGTATTGCACTTGAGATGATTTATGGGAATCGGGTATTAGCTCATGCACAGCTTGAAATAGGTTATTCCACTCCAACAGCTTTACGAGCAGCAAAAACAACCACCGGTTGCCACGCTGGCCTCCATGGATCGATTCAGAAACTCATCTGAGATTCATAAACTCAATGGTTCAACTGCGGTTTATCGAATAATCTGGAAACCATAAGAAGCCAATCGAATGGTTTAATATTAGCCTACTGGGTAACTGTGAGTGTGTGCAATGTGAGTGTGTATTTAAGGAGGGGGGTTTTGAGGGTAAAGAAAAAAGTGTAGGAGGGGGGCAGTTCCTCTGCACTCCAGCGCCCAGTGACCAACCACAGGGCCAGTATAACCAAATCATTCCGAGACAGCGCGCCCTTTCTGCTCACATGTGTTCACACAAAGAGCCAAGAAAGCTCCAAGGCCTGGCGAAGTTTCCACAGACAGGATCCCCTGCGCCCACTCACTCACTCACTCACTCACTACTGTTGCAGAGGCAGCTGGGAAGAGGGGGAGAGAAGGGAGTCGGGGGGCATTATTGACCCCACTGCGATTTTTTACTATAGTATAACGTTTTGCAATAGCTGATAACTTTTGGTATCAATACTCAATTTTTGGAAAATGTTATATTTGTTTACATCTAAATCTTAAAGCAGTGGTGGAACAAGTATTAAGATACTTTACCAAAAAAAAAAAAAAAACTTCATTAACACTCCATGACAGAGTTAAGTCATATTTAACATAAAGAACTATAAGCGCAAATCATTTGGCAGCAGAATACCAATGCATACATGTATATCTATCCGTCTATCTATCCGTCTATCTATCTATCTATCTATCCCTTTGCATGTATCAATGCATCCATCGTTGCATATCTGAAGACTGCCATGAATAAACCATAAGGATTGAAAACATTTAAAGTGTTTGACCACATACAGCCATTAGGGGCGCTCTTCCCCCGATATGATCACCCTCCTCCCCTCCCTGCTCCCCTCCCTCCTCCCCTCCCATTTATTTTCCTTCCTCAGTGAGAGGTTGCCTCTGCACTCTGCTATACGCAGCAGCTCTCCCACGCACACACATTTCCCCTGCTCAGCTCTGTCTATTTTTTTTTCTTCCAGCGGAGCTTTTCGTCGCCATTAATTTCAGGCAATAAAGCAACAGCTTTATTTGATGAACTTAACGGGATAATCAGCCCACAGTCGCACCTCGGGCTATACATTAGGTCCACGACGGGCTGCGCATTATCAGATCATTTGATCACTATACGTGCATAATGAATACACGTGGGAGTGAAATCAGAGAAGATAGCAGACCCTGTGACCCCGGGAGAGGAACATTTAATACTAAATCATCTTAACGTTTAATAGGTTTTCTTGTCGTTACATCACCTGTGACCTATAGCATTGCTAGCAAGTGCAGAAAACCAGAGAACCAGTCAAACATTTCCAACTCGACCTTGCATGATGAGGAACAAAGTTTTAGCAAATCTCTCTTTGACAGGAGTTCTTTCTGCTCGAGTCAGGAGTGAAGCCTCCCTCACTGTGAAAATATTTGCTGAGCAAATCCCTCACAGTGTTAAAGCGTGAAACACTTCGCATTGGAATGGGACATCGCCTGTGGCAGTGACACACACACACACACACACACACACACACACACACCACACACACACACACACACACACACACACACACACACACACACACACACACACACACACACACACACACACACACACACACACACACACACACACACACACACACACACACACACACACAGCTATCCATCCAGGAGAGAATGACACCATAATACATATGATCATGACTGTTACGCACGAGAGGATACACACACGCACGGGGGCACATGCACGACAGCTTCCAAGCATATACGCACCAACAGGTCCAGGCACACACGCATGCACACTTTCCCCTCTATTCAGAAAAATACCGTACCTGAGGTCAGGCTGCTAGGTCGTCCTCATGGGGAAGTTGCAGGGGGTGAACGTTAATCTTTCCCCGGGCAGGAGGGCACACAGCAGGGGGTAGAAGACGCCGTGTTTGCCGTTCCCCACTCTTCATGCGACCCCGGTGCTGTCCGCCGCCGTCTGCCTCCCAGCTCATTGTTTGCTCGGCCAATACATTAGTGGCGACGCGCGTCACCTTGATCGACGAGCGCCTGGAATTTAAATAGCCACTCAAACACCAATCTGTCACCGGCTAAGGGGATAAGGACAAGTAGGCCTACCTCACTGGCTGACCTGGGTCCACGTGACAGCACCCGTTCACTGATATCGGCCCTCGCGCCCCCTCCTTCCCCTGATAGGGACAGAGTATAGGTAAAGGTTGGCACGGTCACTCAGGGTAAGTGGGGAGAGAGGATCAGAGGGTGTCTGTAGAGCGGACTGTCCCTCGCCCCCCGGTAGAACAATGCTACAATGAGCAGCTTCTTAGACTACTCGGTGATGAACGGTGAAGGTGGCTCGTGCTCTGTCAGGGCTTTCCACTCAGATCACGGGATTACAACTTTTCAGTCTTGCGCGGTAACTGTCAACAACTGCGGGACTGATGACCGCTTCATGGGGAGCAGGGCTTCCCCTGACGGCATTCCTCACCAGCCGGGGTCATACCAGTCTACTGCGAGCTCTCTGGGTCTCGCCTATGGAGCACATCCGGCCTGCAGCTCCAGCTATGGACCCCAAGGTTTCTGTGCTACGTATAACCATTACGCGCTCAATCAGGAAGTAGATTCCACAGCGGGATTCCCCCAGTGCAGTCCACTAATGTACTCGGGTAACATTTCCTCCTCAATGGTCTCTCAGCATCGCCAAGGTTACAGTGCCGCCCCCCTGGGTCAGCTGCAGTATGCCCACGCTGCCTATGGCAGCGGGCACGAGCAAGCTGCCCCGTTTCCTGGGTGCTCAAATCCACTGTCACCACTGCATGCAGCCCACCTGGAGGCTTGCTGTTCGCCTCTGTCTGAGGGTGCATCTTCTGCTCAGACCTTCGACTGGATGAAAGTCAAGAGGAACCCACCAAAAACAGGTGGGTGCAAAGTGCCAATGGTACAAAGTGTTAACAAATATGTCTAATGAGCGTTCTGAGTTCAAATGTAGGCTTTATATTCAACAACTCGTGTTTGAATGGGCCACGTTTGTTATATTGTTGTTAATTGAACGACAGAAGGCTGGGAATAGTCATGTTTTTGTAATATATTAAATAACGTAGCAGATGTTATCTTTCAGTGTTATATTAGACAATGTATGTGTAATACAGCATGTTTCAAAGCAGCTGACATTAATTATCTGCTGCGTAAAAGCTGCTTTTTGCTGCGTAAAAGTTTAACCTAATCCAAACCCTGTTGTCTAATACCCCATGCGTGTTGTGAGCAGTGAACATGTAAGGGAACCTTATACAATACATTCACAGTGATTTGATTCTCTGTCTGCAGGCCGGTCTGGGGAGTACGGTTACGGGGGTCAGCCGAACACGGTCCGGACCAACTTCACCACCAAGCAGCTGACGGAGCTGGAAAAGGAGTTTCACTTCAACAAGTACCTGACACGTGCGCGCCGCGTTGAAATCGCAGCAGCTCTGCAGCTGAATGAGACTCAGGTGAAGATCTGGTTCCAGAACCGGAGGATGAAGCAGAAGAAGAGGGAGAAAGAAGGGCTGCTTCCGGCCAAAGCTTCATCCTCAGACCCGGGACAGAGCATACAAGAGAAAATGGACGATGCAGCATCAGATAAATCTATTTCAGCTCCATCTACTCCGTCTCCCACACCCTCCACTGTGTCTGATCCTTACTCGTCCAACTAAGAACTAACTGCCTCTTTAACTCTTCAAGCCACAGCCGGCCTGTATATCAAAACTCATAACCAGTGTATCAAAGCCAAAGTCCTGGTTAATGGATGTGTGGACATCTAGACTGAATTAATGCACTATTTAGGACTTTGGACAATAATATGGACTGTGTCTGAGTTAAATATTTGTTTTATATTGTGTTCGGAAGAACGATTACATTGCTGTTCAATCAACCATAGACCACTTTCTTTAACATTTGACGTAACATACGCGTTGTGCCACGAATGTGACGGTGCAAGAACCAGTACATACACCTGTTCCCGAGCAGTGCTGCAGTGTGACAATGTAAAGTTACACAGCTGCACCCACAAACAAATACCTCAAATGTGCCAAAGTTGTGCGTAATGGCCACGGCCTGGGTGATTGCACTGAATGTCGCCAATTAGCCATCACAATCAGCGAGATGACCTCGTTTATTAATCGTTATAGAGTGCATTGTTATAGTACCTCCTTAATCACTGTCCCCTCTGTGTTTAAGGCCTGCGTGTTTGTGTGTCACGACTGTCTGAATGTCTTTTGTGTGAGATTTGCATGATGCCTATTGCTTTCATGTATTAGCTGAGTTTTATCAGTTGGGGAACTGTTCAAGGCCATGTTTGTTCCAGGCTTTTATCTGTTATCTATTTAATCCAGTGGAGCACATACAAAGTGTTTGTCCAGAGAGACGTTTACGGGTCAATCATGTGTATTAAAGTGCGTTTACCTCTAAAAACACTATTCATGTGTCATTGCTTAGGGGAAATCTTAAGAGAGACAGCATTAGAGAGATTTCTGAGGATTTCAAAGCCAAGCTTCCATCTAAATCCGACTATCAGACCTTTATCTTAAGCTCTGCTGATAGGAAATGAATTCTGTGTCAATTTTTACTATCGCCCGAGAAGCTGCACGTGTCTGTTTTACGCACCGCAGAGTCCCTCAATGTATGCGGCCGTGCGCGCACTCATCCCTGGGGTAAAGAGTTATTGGCATAATAAAGGCATGTTTATCCACGGAGGAGATGAGAGCGCGGACATCAGCGTCATTTGTGATGACAACCTTATTGAGCCCTCGGCTTATTGAGGGGACAAAAAAGAAACTTCATCGATTAAAAACATCGAGGTTAGGCTATTGACAAGGATTGTGCCCCTCTGGCCCTGTCAGCGTTAACCCCTCAGCTCCCCAAGTCACAAGGTGTCATCATCCCCACCTGATGACAAGAAGAACAGTGAAAACTTATAGCACTGCATGTCACACAGTCAGTTCCACAATTGTGCTTTAACAAAAGTTATTATTTGAGGCTTTGTTCCAATTAAACCGGATTTGATAATCTGCTCTTTTAATAATAATGGTTTGAGAGTGAATATTATTATCTTTAAAATCAGCTTACATTATTAATAGCATTTATTTAAAAACAAACAAACTATTTCTTAATGGACTCTCAACAGTTTTATTTTACCTGCCCTTTTCAAAGTTGCCTATATCGTGTGACAATATCCAAACAAAAAAAGGGGGTTTTCCTGATTCTCTAGCTGATTTAATTCCTGGTGTGCAAGCTGCGAGGCCATCACACCATAAAAGGGCAAAAAACGCCGAAAGAGCCATGATTAATGAGCGACGGCACCTTTACCTGCGATGCACCTGCAGGAGCTGCTTTATCGGAGCTGCTTTATCGTGAGGCTGCTCAGTCTAATTCAGCAAAGAGAGTAAGTTATTTAGCCAACCTCTGTTGTATTAATCTAATCGAACTCTTTGTTGATATTGGTTATGCATTTTATAAGGTGTTTTTTCAGTTGTTGCTCCTGTGACAAGGTTTGTTTGGTAACTTCAGACACCCTCATTTTGTTGGAGGAGTTGTTTCAGTATAAATAGTGAAGTTAGCACACAGACCTCCCTTTTTGTGTTTGTTAGGCCAATTTGGATAATCAGGTGAAACATTGTCATATATTTGAAAAGGATAGAATACAATCCATGCTCTTTCTTTACAGCAAATAAATTAAGATTTTCGTTTATTTTAAACAAAATGTAATGCGTTATGTATATATTTTTTAGGAGATTGTAAATATGTTAAGGCAAATGAAAAGTATTAATTTGCTCTTCCCTATTTTAATATCCTTTAAACATTTCTGATTTTTTGTTAAATTATTTAGCACATTTGAAAAGTGTTATATTATAGGGTTATACAAAAAGTGTCGAGGAAACGACCTGAATTAGATTGACACGGTTTCATTAAAATAATGTTACTCAAATACAATGTTATTTTTTTAAACAAAGGGTATCGTTGGTTGTTGTTTTAATAGCGTATTATTTCAACGCTCAATCTCGAACAATTCATTCTTATCAAAATGCATCATATTATTTCACACAAACAACAAATGTTCAACTAAAAGCTTCTGCACAATTTATTTCCGCCTCATCTGAATATTTTGTCACGGCAACTAGTATTATCAAGTCATTTTATTTCCGTTTAAGACCAACACAAATTGTATTTTTCATATATCTAATTCTATTTTAATCATAAACCCAACATGCAACATATTTTCTTCGTATTTCCTTTGAGTCTAAACATCTGGTGTATTTTTATTTTGCTTGCAATCTCAAATGCGATAGGGACAACATTGCGTAGTTACTAATTTTCCTGCATCTTGTAAATAATTTTTTTTTTTCGTGAGTCCAAAACTGATTTAAGACGCTAAATGTATACAAATTAGAAGTTGTAACCGAGAATGAAATGGGTCATTTTCTCATAACACATTTAAGACATATCATTGATATGTATTATTGTATTTTCTATTGTATTCTACTATAACCCCTAGTAAAAATGAAAGCCTGTGTTCGAGACTTCCACAGACCTCTTAAAGGACCCTTGGGTGTCCCCGGACCCCGTTTTTGGGAAGTTTAAGCTCCACTGTTCTCCCTCAGGCCCCTGTGCGCTATGCAGGAGCAGAGTGGATTAGAAAACGCAGCTGATCCTCAAAAGAAAGCCTGGGGTCAACCCTCGGTCACAGTTTGAGTTTGTTGTCATAGCACCACCCACACCTAAACAACAGTTTACAGACCACACTGGGCAAACAAGCACCTCAACAACGCAGTCACAGTCCAGCTCCGACGGCCTATTTGACCGAAACACCCTCACACTCGCTGCTAAATGCTAAAAATGACCTCAGCGTTTCAAAGAAAGTCTATCAGGACGTCTGTACTGGTCCGACCGCCAGAATATGCCCCCGCGCGGCTGATGGTTCCCATTAGGGCCCTCGGATAAACACACGGACGATGACAGATGTTTGACGAAAACCATTAAGGCTTTGTGAAGGAGGAATATATGTTTAAAGCTTTTTGACTTAAGGGGGTGACGCAGAAATTAGATGGAGGATTCATTTGCGCGTCCTTGATGGGCCTGAAATAGATATGCGCCTTGAGCCAACTAAAATGTGTGCCATGGAAATGATTTGTTTACAACATTTGAAAAAAACGACTGGTCGAACAAGTCTGCCGTCATAATAACTATGCAAACGGAAAGAAAGTTTAGGCTGCTGATTTGACCTGAAGGAAATAAGTAAATCCCTGTTTAAAATACATTCATCTGAATTTTAGTGAGAGAGCTCGGGAAAAACATAATACATATTCTGAAGCTTTAGAAGAAAAACTACCAGTGACGTGTTTAGGATACTTTAAAAAAAATGAGGTGTTGAAAGATATTTGAATTGAAACTTTAATATATATTTGTTTTTTAAATCAAATATCATTTCCGATTGCATACAAATAAATAAAAGCCACAAAACCCTAATTTAGAAACTTAGGAAAATTGTCTTTTTAAAACTATGTTTTTTATATGAATTATTTTAACATTCTTACATTTTTTGTGCAAATGGGACCTGAATTAGATATTTGGAAGATGTTGTTAATTTTGCAATCATCACAGGGAAATGTAGTCTTTTAATATTTCAAATTAAAAAATATCTGGATTGATTTCCTTATATTCTCCTTTATCTTATCCATATCATTAAAAACGTAATGTGCATTTATTATATTACTAACTAATAACATATAGTAACATTATAATAATATAATCTAAATTGTGAATAGTCACTTTTTTTGTAGGATGTCAGAAGCCTTTCAAAAGCATCAAAGGCTCTCGCACTCCAATGCAACAAACAGCAAAAATAACATTCAACAAAAAAATTGTCCAATAGAAATAAAAGCAGAAATAGAATATCTATTTATATTATTTTATTTATTTGTTTTACTTACATAATTGCAACTATAACAAACAAACAAGCATTGTTTGTGGATTTATATCTTGTTCCTATAATGTTAAGTCATTTTGCTCAAAATCTGAAGGCTGTGAAGAAGGGAGCTTCAGTTAGCAAAACTAAAGTGTCCTTCCTGTGGCATCACAGAACAACGTATCAGTAAACTAAAACTGAATTGAAGCAGTGACAGAACAAGAAGCTTATGATAATTTGATTGTTTTTTCCAGCATTATCGGTGGACATAAAGAAGATTTGTGAGACCCAAAGGGGAAGCATGCGAGTTGACCACGAGACTCAAACGCCGCCACCTGAGAGTGTGAAGGTATTCATCTCAGTAACACACTTTCACACACAAATGAAATCACCTGTGATACTGTGAGGCTTATCAGAAACAAATATACAAAAATATAGGTGCTTAACGATATTAAGGTTAGAGACAACAAAAACACACACACACACACACACACACACAGGTGCAGACACTTGGAGAGAGGGAGAAATAGTGTTAGGGTTGGAGTGTCAAACCACCTCTGCCTCTAAATTATTTTTTTGTTGATGTCATTTTAATAATTGTATAGGATTTGTGTGTGTGTGTTTGTACCTGGGAATACGATGGAAGAAATCCCCATGGAGGAGGAAAAGCCACTGAGAACAAGAAAAAGGAAATTCAAAAGGCTTTGTCATCACACCTAACTGATGAAGGCTTTTTAGGTTCAGGCTAATTTCTGTGTGGTAATGCAGACATCCTATGTGTCCTAGGTCATAATGGAAAGTGCAGTGATATGGACAAAAATATAGTGGCTGTGATCAGTCTGTGCCTACGTAGATCTTATTTGTAGTTTGTTTATGGTCAGCTGCGGTACTATGCCTCTAACACAGATAATGGGCATGGTTAAAACCAAAAACAAGGCACAGTTTCTTTGTCCATTTGTTCACACAACAGTGCAGGCAGCCCATAGAGACAGAGAGGCAGACAGACAGAAGTCACTCATCAGGTTAGTCGAGGTATTGGCACATCCAAGCTCATTGACCACTCCCCTGCTGTGATTGGCAGCCAAAATGAATTCCTCCATCGACAGATGTGCGTCTCCAAGTGCCGATATAGGGACAGAGCCGATAGAGGGATTGACAGTATGATGGAGGAAGAGAAGACAGGGAAGGAGAGGAGAGATGACATCATGTGGTCAGTTGTATGTGTTTGATGAAACAGTGTTGTGGTGTTTAGAGTGAGGAAAAGTGGAGATGAGATGAGGTTAGAGGCCGACTGTAGCGCTGTACGTCCACAGCAGAACTCACCTCAAAGACTTGTCTGCAGTTTTCTTTAGGCTCCTTTTGTATGGAGAAGCAGTCCTGCATTGTGGGGAGACTCTCAGTGAACAGAGAGCTCAGCCGGGACGCTTTAGCAGGTCTGAGGCCCAGAGAAGGAATGGGGAGAAGGGCCGTGGTCTCGAGACAGAGGTCCATCCATCACACATGTCCTGACCTCGGCTTGACCCCAGCAGGGCAGCCAATGAGGCGCCCGCACCCCCTAAAGAAAGCCCCCCACCACACAGACACACACACACACTTACCTACTCACACACACACCCACACACAGAAAAGATCGGGTGACGCTGAGTGGAGTCTGGATGCTCTTTGTGTTGGCGATCATCGCTTCCCAGAATCCTTTGTTTTTTACGTGACTAATGTGAGTAACACCTGACAGACAGGCTGTTCATCCCGTGTCTCAGTCTTTCTCTGAAACACACACACACACACACACACACACACACACACACACACACACACACACACACACACACACACACACACACACACACACACACACACACACACACACACACACACACACACACACACACACACACACACACACACACACACACACACACACACACACACACAATCTGGTACGTCGTACGTATATGTTTTGAACAATAAGTAACATTGATTTACTAAATACTAAAATACTCAACAGTTACATTTTTCTCAAATGTCTTTCCTCATCCAAAGTCCTCGAAAACTACACTCCATATTTTCTGTAAGTGTATACATAAAAGCAAAGACACTGTATATTAGCAAACAGGCAGGTTGATGTTAGGAGACATTAACAGATCCCGTTACAGCTCATGTTAGCTTAGGCTCGGTGACTGACTGCAATCAAGTCTTGTCCTCAATTCATAGCTAACCAACTGAATGTAGGCTAAGATGATTTATCCACCGGATATCAACAATTGTGTATTAAAACCTAAAACATTATATAGGACTTTCAACCATGAGGCCACTATCCGTGTCTGGTTTGAAACCAAATGTCAACCAAATGCTATTGTTTAATTTAGCTTCAAATAACAATGGTAACCGGGTGTTTAGAGCTTCCTCCATAATATGGGGAGATGCAGTTTAGTCATATGGGAATGCTATTTCAACAGAGTTGCATACAGAGTGTAGGGAAGAGGAAGGGTTGGATGGATAGGTCAAAAAACACATGACACTTTACCATGCAACTAGACCGCTGTTCTTGTCCTGTGTAAAACCAAAAGTCAGCTGTTGACCTTTTTATGTTGACTGCTATTGAAGTACATAACTCTTTTCATATAAGAAACATAATTATTTTCTTAAAACTAACCACATCTTTTTGTTGCCTTAATATAAGAAATTCGTTTTTTTTTTTATCCACAACATTTGCCACATGTTTAAACTGCAGCTGTGCGTCCCTATTTGACAAGTTGTGAAGTGGAGAAGGAAGCCATAAATGACACCTGAAAAGCTTGAAATGCTTAGTCATGACACTTCAGTACCTCAGTGTGCCTTAAATAATCATAAGTATCAAAACACACCTTCTTAAAATCAATCTTTCACCAGTCACTTCGGAGAGAATACTGTGGGCTTTTATACACTGTTGTTCCTTTTGTTATGCTTGTTGTCATGTTCTTATTGAGCCTGAGATGTAAGAAAGACAAACAAAGCTAAAACATAATCCCAAACCCTAAACGGCAAAGCCAGCAAACACACCCGACAGCATTTCCTGAGTGCTTGTCAATAAGCGAGTACAGCCTGAGCCAAGCCTTTGATATTAAGGACCTGAGCCTTTGGTCTCATGAATAACTAGACAGGTGAAGAAGCTTGTGTTAAAATGGCCTCAAGCAGATAGCCATAGTTAGCACATCACAGAAAGAAACACAGAACAACCGCCACTACTGTCACACACAGCTGCGGGGCAGAAGAGCGGTTTCAGCACCTCAGATTAAACGTCTCCATGTCAGGGAGAATTTGGAGAGCGTGTGAGCGTTAGAATCTGCTCGGGGTGACATGCAGCGATTGTCAGGACGTTTTGAGCTCACCTGACACTGTTTTACCTGTGAACCACCTGTCAGTCCGCCCCATAGGAAGAGCAATGGTGCTCACGTGTGTTGTGACAGAAAACCACTGAAAATACAATCTGCGGGGATTAGTGAGCAATTTGTGCGATAACTGACACAAAATGCAGCGCGCGACCTCTTTGATGGTTGCTGACAAGAGTTAGCATACTAGGTCACATTAAGAAATGTCATCTATTTTCAGCAACATTTCACACAGTTGCGTTTGTCAAGATTGTTCAGTCTTGTAGCTGTTTGATTGACATGTTAAAGCATTTCTGATGCCAATAGCGGTAATGGCCTCTTTCAGAAACAAACAAACAAACAAACAACACATTCAAGTTTTCAGATCTTAAACACTGATCTGCTTTAACGCATTAGTGATTTGATGCCAGAAAAATTACACACACACAAGCTGTAAAACCACAATGGGTGTTAAAGCAGGCAGAGTTAATACAGCAGCTTGTTATTGTAAAGAATGACGGAGATGTTTCAGTGACAGATGTGTAACTCGGTGTAACTCTAAGCCTCTCGTTTGTACACGCCCTGAAGCACATCACACTGTGGGAGTCTGAGAGGCGGAGTGAAACTATGCACTGATAGGGTGCCTGTCCCCTTCAGGCAAAGAGCAGTCCAGATTTGAATCTCACAACACTCGTAACAGTGAGCTTAGCAAGACAAATTGATTCTCACTCAAAATCTGTGAGATACTGTATGTTTATGGTTGTGTAAACACACCAGATAAAAGCTTTTAATCACGCTGTTGCAGTTGAGCTGCTGACAGAGCAGCAATGGCCATCAGAAAACCTCATCTTACGTAAACCATGATATTGGGAAAGCAGTCTTCCTGATTTCTTTCTTTTCTTCTTTTGTAATTAAGTCTGCAGTTTTCTCCTTAGCGGGAACCACGGCCGGATTTCCCAAAAGCAAGTTAGAGCTATGATCATCAGCTAAAACATTAACATGTCATTACATTGGAATTTCATTTAGAGTAACGTCCCTATCTGTAATGTCCCTTTATCTTAGTTGGACCTTTATCAGCTAATGTTTCAAAGAAACCATTGCAACAACCATGCCACAAAGCTAAAGTACAGCTAGCTGGCTAACCTGTGGATAGCTTAGTTTACAGTTATCTAGTTGGCCGACCCTGTCTTGTGTCAGTTTTGAAGCTTCTAGAGATCTATCCAAAGGCTGTTTTAGTTAACTGAGAAAGACATGGAAGGTCTCAATTTTAAAATCACATTACAATCTGTGTAAACATTCGCAGTACAAAGGGATTCAAATATTTGTGTATTATAACTTTTAAACTAACCACCAAGTATTTTGCACCCGCTGGCTTACTTACTACAAACCTCCTAGCACCCCCTCCTCCTTTTACCCCACCAGATGCTTGGTTGACTATCACAGAAACCCTGTTATGTAGCACAACCAGTTATGCTGCCTGCTCACTTCTGTTGGACGTGTATAAACACCTTCACCATTGGATCTGAGGGTTATTTAGTCCCTAAGGTTAACATTTCTGTAAAGTAGCATTCAGCATAAGTTAGTAAAACATTTTGAAACTCCCCAAGAAACCAAATGTTATTTTAAGCATCAGTTGATAAAGGAGTACAAAAACAGCAAAGATAAGAAATGTGCTCAGAGTATATTGTTGAAAGTAGATATTTGTGTGTGTGTGTATGTGTGTTAAAGGGAGCTGACCTCTCCAACACCACATGCTCACCTGCAGACAGCTGGACAGTCACCCTCGTCTTCACCCCCCTCCTCTCACTCCCCCTCGCTCGTTATCATTTGAGCTCCACAGAGACTCTTCTAATGACAGCGCTTGTCTATAATGGCGTCGTCACAGCTCGTGTGCGTGTGTGTGTTACTCCGTGTGTGTGTGTGTGCGCTTGTACGGGTGCATGTTTGCCCTGTAATGACAGCGGCTGTCTATAACGGCTCGTCCTGGCAGGGATCATTTGGT